GTCAGGGTATCTAGGAACTTTTAATTAGTAATTCATGACTTCCTGTTTCCCTGGGGTATAAATATTATGTGACACAGAGGCCTAATTCTCTTACCCATTTGTCAACATGGCAAAGACAAGAGAACACACCATTCAAGTAAGGCAGATTTGTGTCGACCTTCATAAGTCAGGCAATGGCTACAAGAAAATAGCCACTCGCCTTAACTTGCCCGTATCTACAGTCAGAGGAATCATTAAGAAGTTTAAAACAACTGGAACAGTGACAAACAAGGCTGGAAGAGGTCCCAAGTTTATCTTGCCACAACGCACAGTGAGGAGGATGGTAAGAGAAGTAAAAAAAAGTCCTAAGCTCACTGTCACAGAATTGCTTCAAAGAGTGGCATCTTGGGGTCACAAAGTATCCAAAACAACCATCAGACACTCTCTACATGCCAACAAGCTGTTTGGGAGGCATGCAAGGAAAAAGCCTTTTCTCACTAACACTCACAAACGTAAACGTCTGGCGTTTGCTAAGCGGCACTGGGACTTCAACTGGGATCGTGTGCTTTGGTCAGATGAGACTAAGATTGAGCTTTTTGGCAACAAACACTCTAAGTGGGTCTGGCGTAAAACAAAAGATGAGTATGCCGAAAAGCACCTCATGCCCACCGTGAAGTATGGTGGAGGATCTGTGATGCTGTGGGCCTGTTTCTCTTCCAAAGGCCCTGGGAACCTTGTTAGGGTGCTTGGCATTATGAACGCTTTGAACTACCAGGACATTTTAAATAAAAACCTGATGGCCTCTGCCAGAAAGCTGAAGATGGGTCGTCATTGGGTCTTTCAGCAGGATAATGATCCAAAACATGTGGCAAAATCTACACAAAAATGGTTCAGCAGTCACAAACTCAAGGTCCTCCCATGGCCATCTCAGTCCCCAGACCTCAACCCAATCGAAAACCTGTGGGGCGAGCTAAAGAGGAGAGTGCATAAGAGAGGACCCAGGACACTGGATGATCTAGAAAGATTGTGCAAAGAAGAATGGTCAAAGATCCCTCTCTCTGTGTTCTCCAATCTTGTGAAATGTTATAGGAGGAGATTAAGTGCTGTCTTGTTGGCAAAAGGGGGTTGTACAAAGTATTAACATCAGGGGTGCCAATAATTGTGGGACACATGATTTCAAGTTATTTTTTTCTAAATGTGTGATTTTTTTTTTTACACCAAAGTAATGTACTTAAATAAAAGGTTGGATTTTTCTCTTTTTTTGCATTTGGGTTCTATGTTGTTTAAAAAAAAAAGAAAATTTTTGGAAGTCCTCGACCACATCTTAAACAGGGGTGCCAATAATTGTGGAGGGCACTGTATATGAACAAGGCCTTGAGATATAGGGCTCCATACAATACTGGCTCATATGTTTTATTGCTTAGATGTGCTTCTGATATTTTCTATGGCCGCACTTAACGCTCCCTATAACCTTCAGTCCAGAGACAAACAAAGAAAGAGAGAAAGAGAGAGAATGTAGGGTACAATTGTTCATTTATACAGTGATGGAAAAAAGTGATTTGCTTATTTTGTACGTTTGCCCACTGACAAAGAAATGATCAGTCTATCATTTTAATGGTAGGTTTATTTGAACAGTGAGAGACAGAATAACAACAACAAAAATCCAGAAAAATGCATATACATTTTTTTTCTAAATTGATTTGCATTTTAATGAGGGAAATAAGTATTTGACCCCCTCTCAATCAGAAAGATTTCTGGCTCCCAGGTGTCTTTTATACAGGTAACGAGCTGAGATTAGGAGCACACTCTTAAAGGGAGTACTCCTAATCTCAGCTTGTTACCTGTATAAAAGACACCTGTCCACAGAAGCAATCAATCAAACAGATTCCAAACACTCCACCATGGCCAAAACCAAAGAGCTCTCCAAGGATGTCAGGGACAAGATTGTAGACCTACACAAGGCTGGAATGGGCTACAAGACCATCGCCAAGCAGCTTGGTGAGAAAGTGACAACAGTTGGTGCGATTATTCGCAAATGGAAGAAACACAAAAGAACTGTCAATCTCCCTCGGCCTGGGGCTCCATGCAAGATCTCACCTCGTGGAGTTGCAATGATCATGAGAATGGTGAGGAATCAGCCCAGAACTACACGGGAGGATCTTGTCAATGATCTCAAGGCAGCTGGGACCATAGTCACCAAGAAAACAATTGGTAACACACTACACCGTGAAGGACTGAAATCCTGCAGCGCCCGCAAGGTCCCCCTGCTCAAGAAAGCACATATACATGCCCGTCTGAAGTTTGCCAATGAACATCTGAATGATTCAGAGGAGAACTGGGTGAAAGTGTTGTGGTCAGATGAGACCAAAATGGAGCTCTTTGGCATCAACTCAATTCGCCATGTTTGGAGGAGGAGGAATGCTGCCTATGACCCCAAGAACACCATCCCCACCATCAAACATGGAGGTGGAAACATTATGCTTTGGGGGTGTTTTTCTGCTAAGGGGACAGGACAACTTCACTGCATCAAAGGGACGATGGACGGGGCCATGTACCGTCAAATCTTGGGTGAGAACCTCCTTCACTCAGCCAGGGCATTGAAAATGACAATGACCCAAAACACATGGCCAAGGCAACAAAGGAGTGGCACAAGAAGAAGCACATTAAGGTCCTGGAGTGGCCTAGCCAGTCTCCAGACCTTAATCACATAGAAAATCTGTGGAGGGAGCTGAAGTTTCGAATTGCCAAACGTCAGCCTCGAAACCTTAATGACTTGGAGAATATATGCAAAGAGCAGTGGGTCAAATACTTATTTCCCTCATTAAAATGCAAATAAATTTATAACTTTTTTGACATGCTTTTTCCTGGATTTTTTTGTTGTTATTCTGTCTCTCACTGTTCAAATAAACCTACCATTAAAATTATAGACTGATCATTTCTTTGTCAGTGGGCAAACGTACAAAATCAGCAGGGTATCAAATACTTTTCCCCCTCACTGTATAGGTGTCATGTAAAATAGAGCTGTGTCTTAGCTGAGAGGGAGGAAGATATAGGAAGGTGGAGAAGATTACAAAAGAGTTGAAGAGATAAATGACTGGAGAAGGGAAAGGCAGAGGTGAAAAGAGAGAAAAGAGAGAGGCAATGATAGATAGTTCGGTAAGGGGTGACATGGAGAGTGCATTGAAATAAAAAAGAGAGGGGAGAGTGGAGCATATTGCAGCTGAGAGAGAGGGATAGTTGAATGGAGAGTGTGGGAAAGGAGGAAACATGAAGAGTGGGGATAGGGAAAGGTTAACAGCTGACATCTTTTGACCCCACTTCCCATACAATTGTCTGTCTGTCTGTCTGGCCACCTGTTTGTCCACCTGTCCATCTGTCTTTCCAAATGAGCCCCTATGCAGATACGGAATGAGTAGTAGGGCTAGGAGTTGTTTCTGACCAGGAGGATACAGATCAGAGTCTCTAACATGGCTGATTTCACATATTTGAATATTCAAATCATGATTAAAGTTTTTGTGTGGATCCATATATGCTTAATCATGCATGTGTGTGCATTCTTGAGCACATGTGTCTCTACGTCAGCAGTTATCCCTGTTTTATTTTTAATAATCTCACTATACTCTGGTGAATGAATGGTTTCCATGGGTGCTAGTCCCACACAAACACAAACACTCACCTGAGATATGTGTGGTGTGTGTTAAAATGTCTGACACGCCACCGTTTGCAATCAGCTGCTTCCTTTTCACAGTGGGTAGCATATACAGTAGGATTACAGTAACTCACACACACACACACACACACACACACACACACACACACACACACACACACACACACACACACACCTGTCTCTTTGTTTGTTCAGGTGTGTGTGTGTGTGTGTGTGTGTGTGTGTGTGTGTGTGTGTGTGTGTGTGTGTGTGTGTGTGTGTGTGTGTGTGTGTGTGTGTGTGTGTGTGTGTGTGTGTGTGTGTATGCGTGGGGAGGGGGAATAGTTCTGGGGTGTGTGTGGGAGAGGAGGGCTTTCAATTAAAAGTGGTGTGTGTTTGTGACATAGCAGAATGAAGGGCACTTGAGGGAATCTGTTTCTAACTAGAAGCAGGTGGTCTCCCTCTCTCTTTCTCTCTCTCCCTCCCTCCCACTCTTACTCTGTAACTCCTCTTTCTCTTCCTTTGCACATTTTCCCTTACATTACCTTTTTCTTAAACTGCATGCATATCCATCTCTCTCTTCTCTTACTTTGCCCACTTCTCTCCTCCTCCCCCTTGTCCTTTCCCTTCTCCTCTCTCAGGGGTTCTGACATATAAACACACTTCAGATAGGGGGCATTCTCCCTGCTGAAACATTCATGATGCACACACACACACACACAGAGAGAAGAGAGAGAGATGACAGGAGATGAGAGAGAGAGAGAGAGAGAGTGGAGAGAGAGAGAGAGAGAGGGAGGGAGAGCGAGAGAGAGAGAGAGAGAGAGAGAGAGAGAGAGAGAGGATGAGAGAGAGAGAGATGAGGAGAGAGAGAGGAGAGGAGAGAGAGAGAGAGAGAGAGAGAGAGAGAGAGAGAATTTACAATTAGTAACCATATTACTTCCTATGGTATCTGATATAACCAGAGTCCAATACTTTCTGAAAAGTACACTTCCTGAGGTCTGTATTCAAATATGTTAAAACATATGTGTAGGGTAACTTCCCACAAAGCATAGTTAAAACTATAGTTAGGCTTTCATACATCCTGTGGCAATCAGAACCGAGTCATTAATACAAGTTTCAATTTCTTACACAGCAATACACCCTTAGCTAACAACCAACTGCACACTAAGTTGTGGATTAATGATATAGCACTCTGAAACCTATCACCAGCTAATGTTTTCCTTCATCACACATAGTAATACATCTACTTCCAATCCCACATTTAGAATAGAATCTAGCAACTGGCTGTAGAGGGGTTTCAGGTAGGTTGTATATTGGTTGTAGAGAGGTTTCAGGTTGGTGTAACACAGAAGCTAAAAACATACACAGTGTAATGTATGACTGTGGTGTGACCTGGACTACATCAATAGGACATTCCCATTAGTCTAGCGAGCTATACCTCTACCCACACATAGTGATATTACACACATGGCCATACTGAACATGACTAATGTCACTCCAGAGAACACTCACACATGGCTGTCACTATTTCAGGAAAAACACTATTTGACTAAAACATTTCATGGAAAAAACTCTTGTTCTACCGAGCTCAGGAATCCAACCATCTGGAGGGCTGTCCTCCAATCTAATGTATTCTGATAGATGAGACCAATGGGTTTACATAGCTATATTTTTGTAGTTCATCTGTGTGAAGAAATGTGCTTCTAAAATGAGACACAGATCTTGAGCAAACAGTTATTCCACCCAGCTTTTCAGTCATAAGTGAGGAGGGAGTATGTCACTACTGCTTACGTCAAACCAAATTGGACTGTGGGGAGAGAGAGAGGGAGAAAGAGAGAGAGGAGGAAAAATAAATTGAAGAGTGTAGGGACTGAGGCGCCCAGAATTACAGGGTGTTACAGACACTCATCTCAACAGTTCCTCAGAGACTTTACACTGTGGTTACTTCATTATTGCCACTTATCACACACACACACTCTCTCTCCTGTCCCTTCCCATCTCTCCCTGTCCCTCCCTCTCTCTCTCTCCCTCCTCCTGACTTTCGCTTCTTCACAAGATTCACAATACCTTTGCCTATCACCCTATCTCTCCATAATTTTTTATTTCCCCTTATAATTCCTCTCCCTTCTCTTTCCCTCTCTCCCTCCCACACACAAATGTGTGGGTGGTCAGCTGGTGGGGGCAATGGGTGTGGGTGGGTTTATTGGGTGAGGAGAGAGTGTGAGAAGGAATGGTGTGTGCATACGTGGGAGGGTACGTGTGTGTGTATGTGTATGTGTGTGTGTGTGTGTGTGTGTGTGTGTGTGTGTGTGTGTGTGTGTGTGTGTGTGTGTGTGTTTGTGTGTGTGAGGTGTTAGAGATGGTGTGTGAGAGAGGTTTAGGTGTGAGAAAAACAATTTGGGCACCAGGTAAAGGTTACAGTTTCATCTAGAAAGGCGGTCAAAATAACACCCCTCAGCCTAAAAGGTTGCAAATATTGCATTGTACAATACTGGACTGTTTGTTGACACTGACCTAATGGTTGTTGTGGTTTGAAGTGGTTCATCAGAGCCTACAGGAAGACCGACATCCACCCAGCAAAGCAAACCTAAATTGTTTCTGTGAAAGTTCCCAGATCATTCGTTAGGTCACTGCAAATTTTCTCATGTCCAGTCATGGTGATGATTATAGAACATTTGTATAAAACATTCACTTGATATTGCAAGAACGCTCCTAGAACACATTTAATCTGTTCTTTAAAAAATCCCATAATGTTTCATTAGGTTGTGGGAAGATTGTGTGGACATGATAAGAGATTCTCAAAAGAGTTTCCAAACACAAAAACTGTCCAGTTGTGCTGATTACTGCAATCTTTCTATTAGGTTGCAAAAAACATTTGCCTGATGTTGCAAGAACATTCCCAGAACATGTTTTATTTTCTTTAAAAGTTCCTAAAACATTTATTTACGTAGTGGGAACATTGTGGGGATATGACAAAATAAATATTAGAGAGAAATATTATTGTGAAATGTTTTAATTGTCTGTATAATCAACGTACATATAGCTCTGACAGACATACTTACCTCACTGGACATGTCACCAGGGGTCTCTTCACAGTCCCCAAATCCAGAACGAATTCCATGTCCATGTTAATGTTTTTAAATGCTTATAAATTGTAAAGTATGTTTGTCTGTAATGTATTTTTTGTTATTGGTCGGACCCCAGGAAGACTAGCTGACACCATTGCCGTCAGCTAATGGGAATCCCAATAAAATCAAAATCAAACCTAAAACAAACATGTTATTAACGTCATAAAAACATACTTTTTTTCATTCTTAGAACATTAAGGGAATGTCCTGACCACCTAACTTAAACATTGTATGAATGTCATCACATCTTAGCATATTTGGTGAACCTACTTTGTGAAATGTACCCACACTGTTCCCACAACCTAATTACATGTTCTGGGAACCTTTAAAGAACTCAGAAAGGCGGTTCTTTCAACATTCTTGCAACATCAAAGGGATATTTTGTGCACCCTGATACACACATTATCTGAATGTCAGCACAACAGGACAGTTTTTGTGTTTTGGGAACATCTCTCTTGTCATGTCACCACAATGTTACCACAACCTAATGAAACATTCTGGGAACCTTTAAAGAACAGATGAAATGTGTTCTGGGAATGTTCTTGTAACATCAGGTGAATGTTTTTTGCGCCCTAAAAGAAACATTGTAGAATAATCTGTACAACTGGACAGTTTTTGTGTTTTGGGAGCATATACTTTGATGTTCCCACAATGTTCGCACCAGACTATTCCCACAACCTAATGAAACATTCTGGGAACCTTTAAAGAACAGACTAAATGTGTTCTGGGAATGTTTTTGTAACATCAAGTAAATGTTTTTTGCACCCTAAAAAAAACATAGTAGAATCATCCACACAATTGGAAAGCATTCTGGGAACCTTAAAGAATAGATTAAGGACTCTATTCAATCTGTAAAGTTAAAGCATTACAGATTCCGCAATATAAATGTAAAGGTAATTTCCAATTGAGCCGCATATGCAGCGTTTACCGTGAATGCAGTCTCCGCTAAACCGGGAACATTGCCTTTCAATCATGCTGTAACGCTGAACTTCCACAGTGAGGATTGAATAGAGCCCTAAATGTTTTATTCTATAGGAACATTCTTGCAACATCAGGCAAATGTGTTATACAAACATTCTATAATCATCACCACAAATGGACAGTTCTTGTGTTATCAGAACATTTGCTGCGACCTAACGAATGTTCTGGGAACTTTCACAGAACCAATTATGGTTTGCTGGGAAAACAGTACTGGTACATGTACATTGTGTTATTAGATTAGCTGGAAAACTAATGAGAACTTTTGGGGAATGTTCTGTGGTGGTTGTTACAGATGTTGTGCACATTTTAATACAACAATTAAAATTACCTCATGGTTGTTGTGGTTTGCGATAATTTCTCCAGTGTCTACTCTGAGACTGGCTGGTCATACTGTACGGAGAATTGTCTCCGTTTTCCACTGAGAGTTTGTTCTGTGGTCCAGTTCTGCCTGGCTGGCCAGTCAAGGTCAGTTCCCCCAGCCCGACCATTTGGTCATTGCCTCTTCAGCATTTCCACACAGTCCAAGCAAGTTTGGCAGCGCTGATTCATAGAATACATTTTGTTGGACACAAACTAGTGTGGGGTAGAGGGTGTGAGGGAGAATGTGTGATTGGGCAAGAGAGAACACACTAACATTGTTTTATTACATCTCAGCTAAAGCACCCTCTCTTTCTGGTACCTCCCTAGGCTTTTGGAGTTGTGATCCTGTCCCTGCTGCTACGCTCTTAGAAAAAATAGTTCCAAAAGGGTTATTCAGATGTCCCCATAGGATAACCCTTTTGGGTTCCAGGTAGAACCCTCTGTGGAAAGGGTTTTACATGGAACCCAAAAGGGATCTACCTGGAACAAAACATGTTTTTCTAGGAATCAAAAAGGGTTCTTCAAAGGGTTCTCCTATGGGGACAGCTGAAGAACCCTTTTAGGTCCCACATAGCACCTTATTTTCTAAGCGTGTAGGATGTGTCTTCATGTGGGGATGGGATGTTTCCCCTCTGACATTATGACTATACTGAGGAGACAGTTCACAATATGTTCTATAAGATGCTATTCTATTAGACGCTGTATGCCAAGACTTCCCTTTATCAAACTCTCTTTATTTCTGTCTAGTCTAAAGTGTTTAATTACCTGGGTATATCAGATACCACAACAAGTCATATGGTTAATAATTGTAAATGCTCAATGCGCTCTCTCTCTCTCTCTCTCTCTCTCTCTCTCTCTCTCTCTCTCTCTCTCTCTCTCTCTCTCTCTCTCTCTCTCTCTCTCTCTCTCTCTCTCTCTCTCTCTCTCTCTCTCTCTCTCTCTCTCTCTCTCTCTCTGTGTTCTCCAGAGATGTTGGAGTCTAATAACTTGGTGACGTTTGAGGGCTTGGTGAATAGCTCCGCCTACCACACGTTCCTTTTGGACGAGGAGAAGGGTCGTCTGGTGGTGGGAGCCAAGGACCACATCTTCTCCTTCAACCTAGTAAACATCAGCAGAGATCTGGCACAGGTAACAGTTACAATACACTGATAATGCATTATAATCAATACACTTGCATATATACACCATAGTCTGCTTGTAGTCTGTCTGTCTATACAGATGTAGGATCTTCATTCGAGACAGTTTGCTACAAAAGGAAATGTGAATTATTACGTGGATTATAATTAATGGACAATTTTGTAGGGGTTGATACATTTCAAATTGTAAATTACAAACTTCCTCACCCCTGTCCGTTTTAGCTAGTCTCAGCCAGGTGTCCAGGGACTCTGTTTCTACCATAGAGATAGATAGAGGACTCATCTTTGTATCTGTGCCATTATAACGTCTGTGACAGCATAGGCAGCGCTATTGAGGCAATATCCATTTTGAAGTATTACATTTTCTTACATTTACATTTACATTTAAGTCATTTAGCAGACGCTCTTATCCAGAGCGACTTACAGTTAGTGAGTGCATACATTCTTTTTTATACTGGCCACCTGTGGGAATCGAACCCACAACCCTGGCGTTGCAAACGCCATGCTCTACTGAGCTACATCCCTGCCGGCCATTCCCTCCCCTACCCTGGACGACGCTGGGCCAATTGTGCGCCGCCCCATGGGTCTCCCGGTCGCGGCCGGCTACGACAGAGCCTGGATTCGAACCAGGATCTCTAGTGGCACAGCTAGCACTGCGATGCAGTGCCTTAGAACAATTGGCTGATCCCTCCTGATGACCCGGTTGAACATGACTCTAACAGGGTCACCAGTAGGGATCAGCCAATGAAGTTGGAAGTCCCACCCAGTTGACTACATATAAATGGTGGAAGCCCTCAATGGCGCTGCCCATGCTAATACAGCCTTTTGGTACCTAGAGGCCTCTATCATTCTATATGGTTTCTACAGAGAAGTGGCTGATGATTAATTCAGACCTGAGCTGTCGCACAGGATCTCACACTGCGCCAGGCGTGTTAGCCACTCCCTGCACACCTGGATGAATAATGGAGTAAACGGAAACAAAGTGGAGAACAAATCACATTGTGACTCCTCTACCTCTACCTCCACCACGCACATACACATATGAACATGCACAGGTGCGCAAGCAGACACATACACATCAACGCAATCTCATAAAATATGAGCTGCCTCCTACAAAAGTAAATTTTGTAGTAACGTTGCTGGCAGAAGCACCTCAGCTAATTTTTAAGGCCTGTTAGCTGACCAGCTGCTTGGTCGAGGGGTTAGGGTTAGGGACTGGTTGAAGTTAGGATTGCTAGTGGCTGATTAAAGTTATTGTATCTATGTGTATTGTGTAGTGAAGTGTCCTTATCTCTCTCTGTGTCTGTGTAGATCCCGTGGCCTGCCTCCACCTCCAGAAGAGATGAGTGTAAATGGGCAGGAAAGGACCTCATTGTGAGTAGCTACCACATCTTACACTTTTACACTATCTCTCCCTCCGGAAGTACTGCTTTTTAGAGTACAGTGTGTTTGTGTAATCTGTGTGTTGACACATGGACAGGAAGCTCTGAATCTGATCATAATCCCCTGGCCAAGATAGAGACATTACATGACCTTAATCATCTAGAGTCCAACCCATAGACTGTAAGAAATATGGACGAAGACTTTGATGACGACACCCCATTGTTTCCTATGAGAATCCTCAGTGACGCATTTGAAGATCAGAAAGTGTCATTTCAGCATGTCACCATCTTGCTACATGTTTTTGGAAACATCACATGAGCAGTTTGAGCTACTCTAGGAAGTGACGTTGTAGGCTAGCTCAGTGTATCTTAAGTTGAAGGCTGACCGGGGACCTGCAGGCTGGCATTAGCAACTAAATTATTATTTACATTTTGTCTGTGTGTGATTTTAAAGTAATCAGTTCAAGGACATACATCTGGTGAAATAAAAGCAATTATTGGTTCAATGTTTTTTTATATAGCCACGAATATTGACCACAAAGATCGCCATTTTCTCATTCACTATAATGGGGTGTCCTGTTTTTTGGAAACTATGCCTGCAGTACTGCGGTCAGCATTCAACTTGAAATCCTCAATGTGCTTTCAACTTGAAATCCTCAATCCTCAATGTGCTTTCAACACAGGAGCAGTATCCTACTGTAACATCAGTTATGGCTGTGTAAAATAGAGCATGGCTTCTGTCTACACAGTCATATGGCATTAGAAATTCCCACCGCCATATCACAAGATAATTTAGGTGTGTGTTTTCTTCAGCCTAAGAAGAGTCATGTCGATACCAGCAGCACTTCTATGCTACATGTGTCCTCCTTGCATGACTAGCTCAGTCGTGTATATTTTTCCTTTATATCTGTCTGAATACAAGCAGTACAATGTGTAAAGACTCAGAGAGACAGTTCCAATCTCTCTCATTCTGACTTCCTTCTCAGACACAGCCTGGGGCCATGTGTTGCCTGCAATATAAAATCATAGCTCTGCTGCGTCTGCCTCACTGAGTTCACAAGATCAAGGTCAGGCTATGCTGAGTTTCTATAGGGCTGATTTGAAGGGCCATCAGGTCTTTTGTGTGTGTGTGTTTTCTGTAAACATTCTGGAAGGGATGAGCAGGGAGCCCTGAAGGATGGTCTTTGTGTGTGAAGGGCAGAGGAGAGAGGGAGGAGAGGAAGGAAAAGAGGGCAGAGGGGAGAAGGAGAGAGAGAGAGGTAGCAGGACTACAGATGTCCTTCGATGAACTGGAACAAAGACACTTGTGAACATGGGGAAGACTGTGAAAGAGAGATGAGAAAGAGAAAATAATAGAAGGAGAAATTGCTAATTTACTGTACATCTATGAAGAAGGGAGGGTGATACACAGAGCCAGGAAAGGTTTTATTAAATCTGCACATCTGCACAACCAGCTAAACCGCCCTGAAATGACAGACAGTTCTTCGGTTGACAACAAATGCATACACAATCAACAGAGCTGCTTTCTGTTGGTGACCTTCTAAAGGCAGATACATGTAATCATGCATTATTTGTTTTTCTGTTTTCTCATCAGTGTGATGACATTCATTTTCATATGAGGTCAGGCCTGTTGCCTGCTCAGGCATGTGCTGACAGATCACGGGAAACAGGCTTTGTAGCATGGAGACACACATACCCACACACACATACACACTACACTACACTACACTACACTGCACAGTAAACTCAGATGAGGTTACAGTATGTAATGCTCATAACATTTTGTTGTTGTGGGAAGGTTTCTGGTTCGTTGCAGGTTAGTTGCAAGGCTGTTTCTGCATTAAAAGGTCTCACTGTTGATGTCCATCATAAAATCCCAGCTGCTTTAATACTCATCCCTGATCCTTTCTGATCAGGAGTCAGGATAGGAGAGAGGTCAGTGATTGCATATGGGGAGGGGGAGATGGAGAGAGAAATATAGGAGAGAGATATAGAGATAATTAAATAAAGAGGGAAAAACAGAGAATTACAGATTACTGGCCTCAATCTGAACAGTGAGTTGTTGAGTTACTACACAGCACAACAGTCTGGATTATCTCTGAAACAGCAGAAACAGCACTCACTCAGCTGGCCTGGGCATGATGTCATTGTTACAGTATAAACAATCAGGGCTGTTCCTTTCAACAACATTGTTATTCACATGTACAGTGGGGAGAACAAGTATTTGATACACTGCCCATTTTTGCAGGTTTTCCTACTTACAAAGCATGTAGAGGTCTGTAATTTTTATCATAGGTACACTTCAACTGTGAGAGACGGAATCTAAAACAAAAATCCAGAAAATCACATTGTATGATTTTTAAGTAACTAATTTGCATTTTATTGCATGACATAAGTATTTGATCACCTACCAACCAGTAAGAATTCCGGCTCTCACAGACCTGTTAGTTTTTCTTTAAGAAGCCCTCCTGTTCTCCACTCAATACCTGTATTAACTGCACCTGTTTGAACTCGTTACCTGTATAAAAGACACCTGTCCACACACTCAATCAAACAGACTCCCACCTCTCCACAATGGCCAAGACCAGAGAGCTGTGTAAGGACATCAGGGATAAAATTGTAGACCTGCACAAGGCTGGGATGGGTTACAGGACAATAGGCAAGCAGCTTGGTGAGAAGGCATCAACTGTTGGCGCAATTATTAGAAAATGGAAGAAGTTCAAGATGACGGTCAATCACCCTCGGTCTGGGGCTCCATGCAAGATCTCACCTCGTGGGGCATCAATGATCATGAGGAAGGTGAGGGATCAGCCCAGAACTACACGCAGGACCTGGTCAATGACCTGAAGAGAGCTGGGACCACAGTCTCAAAGAAAACCATTAGTAACACACTACGCCGTCATGGATTAAAATCCTGCAGCGCACGCAAGGTCCCCCTGCTCAAGCCAGCACATGTCCAGGGCCATCTGAAGTTTGCCAATGACCATCTGGATGATCCAGAGGAGGAATGGGAGAAGGTCATGTGGTCTGATGAGACAAAAATAGAGCTTTTTGGTCTAAACTCCACTCGCCGTGTTTGGAGGAAGAAGAAGGATGAGTACAACCCCAAGAACACCATCCCAACCGTGAAGCATGGAGGTGGAAACATCATTCTTTGGGGATGCTTTTCTGCAAAGGGGACAGGACGACTGCACCGTATTGAGGGGAGGATGGATGGGGCCATGTATCGCGAGATCTTGGCCAACAACCTCCTTTCCTCAGTAAGAGCATTGAAGATGGGTCGTGGCTGGGTCTTCCAGCATGACAACGACCCGAAACACACAGCCAGGGCAACTAAGGAGTGGCTCCGTAAGAAGCATCTCAAGGTCCTGGAGTGGCCTAGCCAGTCTCCAGACCTGAACCCAATAGAAAATCTTTGGAGGGAGCTGAAAGTCCGTATTGCCAGCGACAGCCCCGAAACCTGAAGGATCTGGAGAAGGTCTGTATGGAGGAGTGGGCCAAAATCCCTGCTGCAGTGTGTGCAAACCTGGTCAAGACCTACAGGAAACGTATGATCTCTGTAATTGCAAACAAAGGTTTCTGTACCAAATATTAAGTTCTGCTTTTCTGATGTATCAAATACTTATGTCATGCAATAAAATGCAAATTAATTACTTAAAAATCATACAATGTGATTTTCTGGATTTTTGTTTTAGATTCAGTCTCTCACAGTTGAAGTGTACCTATGATAAAAATTACAGACCTCTACATGCTTTGTAAGTAGGAAAACCTGCAAAATCGGCAGTGTATCAAATACTTGTTCTCCCCACTGTAGATGAGGTTGTTCCCTGCATATTCTTGGAATATTATTTATCGATTATTCAGACAGGACAAGCCTTTAATTCTGATTACAGATGCCCTTCATTCCTTCAACCTAAATGTTTGTTTTTCAGCAATCATAGCTCTATGTGATGTTGTGTGAAGTCCAGAGAGGATTTTACACTTTTCTCTGTCCAGTGGATCAGCTCTGGATAGGAGGGCTTACTTCTGAGGGACAAACTGGGTTTTGACCCAACAGCTTCAGACAGCTTTATTCTCTGTCTGTTAGTTGTTTTCATAAACTGTTTATCTCCTGCGTACCCAAGATATACAAAATCTCTCTCATTTTCTATCTCCAGAGTGAATGCTCTAACTTCATCAAGGTGTTGCAGCCATTTAACCAGACCCATCTGTATGTATGTGGAACTGGAGCCTTCCACCCTGTCTGTGCCTACCTGGAGGTGGGGAAGAAACTAGAGGTATGCCAACCTGCATTGTTACTATTCACACATTTATTCATCTTTGTGCCCACCCATCGGTCTGCTTACTCCAGTAATCTAGCTCTAGTGTTCAACTATTTACTGACCAATATGACAACATAAGCCGTGGTAGAGGGCACGTCATGTTTCTGCTGACTGATCCAAGCCTTGTATGAGCTACAGCTAGATAGCAGCGTTAAGAAAAACTCTACACTATAATGTGAGATTACGGTTTTGGCTTTCGATTTAAAATCATAAACCGTGCCATGGAGGTATTCTCTGAATCGTAATGATTCACTGATGGCCTTAGGAAAAATGGTTTTATTCGTTCAGTAAATGAGGTGGAAAATTAAACACAGAGTTCCATCGTCCAAAAGCTCCTCAATTCATTCCTTTACAATTGAAATGCTGTGTGTATGCCTGTGTTCTACGTCTCCTCTTCGTTATGTCAGTGAGTCAGGCTTATAAATGTGTTTCCTATTCATTAGACTGCAGAGAATAGAGAGGGAGAATCTCTCTGAGAATAGTCGTCCCCGCTCTTAACTGCCCGGCTGGGCCCACTTGTTAAAGTGACTCTATGACAGGGGTGTCCTACCCCAGTTATGTTTTCGCTCCAACCCCAGTTATAACTAACCTGGTTCAGCTTATCAAACAGCTAATTATTAGAATCAGGTGTGCTAGATTAGGGTTGGAGTGAAAACCTACAGGATAGTAGCTCTCCAGGAACAGGGTTGGAGAACCCGGCTCTATGAGAATGTAAAAAATCAAATTCTGCAAAAATAGAGATACAATGTTTTTTTCCAAGACGCCAGCATTATGCATTGATGTCAATGGGACTTTGACCTAAAATCTGAGTTCTAAATTATCTTTATTTTGACCTATTTCTTATGTAACAGGACAGTGTGTTCAGGCTGGAGCCCCAGATAGAGAACGGTCGAGGGAAAAGCCCTTATGACCCCAAGCTGCTCACAGCATCCATGCTCATTGGTGAGTGACCCCAACAAACTCACACGCTCAACTTTCTGTATCAAGGCACTAATTTACCCCTGAACTTTTAAACACACTTAAAGAGGAAGTTAAACCTCTTCTCTCATCTCCACTCATTCATTAAGCATATTTACAGTTAAGAGGAAGTGGATGAATGACAGGGCTGGGTATATACAGTATAGTGTTCATAATTAGGAGTACTCTACAGCGGACACCCACTCATTTCCAAGCCTGTAAGAGTGGTAGATGTACAGTGCATTCGGAAAGTATTCAGTTCCCTTGACTTTTTCCACATTTTGTTACGTTAGAGCCTTATTCTAAAATGGATTAAATAAAAATAAATCCTCATCTATCTACACACAATACCCCATAATGACAAAGCGAAAACAGGTTTTTACAAATTTTTGCAAATGTATTAAAAATAAAAAAAGAGAAAAAAAACAGAAATAACTTATTTACATTAATATTCAGAAAGTACTGAGTGAAGGGTCTGAATACATATGTAAATATGATATTACATACAGTGAGGGAAAAAAAATATTTGATCCCCTGCTGATTTTGTAAGTTTGCCCACTGACAAAGAAATGATCAGTCAATAATTTTAATGGTAGGTTTATTTGAACAGTGAGAGACAGAATAACAACAACCAAATCCAGAAAAACGCATGTCAAAAATGTTATAAATTGATTTGCATTTTAATGAGGGAAATAGGTATTTGACCCCCTCTCAATCAGAAAGATTTCTGGCTCCCAGGTGTCTTTTATACAGGTAACGAGCTGAGATTAGGAGCACACTCTTAAAGGGAGTGCTCCTAATCTCAGATTGTTACCTGTATAAAAGACACCTGTCCACAGAAGCAATCAATCAATCAGATTCCATACTCTCCACCACGGCCAAGACCAAAGAGCTCTCCAAGGATGTCAGGGACAAGATTGTAGACCTACAAGACCATCGCCAAGCAGCTTGGTGAGGAGGTGACAACAGTTGGTGCGATTATTCACAAATGGAAGAAACACAAAAGAACTGTCAATCTCCCTCGGCCTGGGGCTCCATGCAAGATCTCACCTCGTGGAGTTGCAATGATCATGAGAACGGTGAGGAATCAGCCCAGAACTACACGGGAGGATCTTGTCAATGATCTCAAGGCAGCTGGGACCATAGTCACCAAGAAAACAATTGGTAACACTAAGCCGTGAAGGACTGAAATCCTGCAGCGCCCGCAAGGTCCCCCTGCTCAAGAAAGTACATATACAGGGCCGTCTGAAGTTTGCCAATGAACATCTGAATGATTCAGAGGAGAACTGGGTGAAAGTGTTGTGGTCAGATGAGACCAAAATCGAGCTCTTTGGCATCAACTCAACTCGCCGTGTTTGGAGGAGGAGGAATGCTGCCTATGACCCCAAGAACACCATCCCCACCGTCAAACATGGAGGAGGAAACATTATGCTTTGGGGGTGTTTTTCTGCTAAGGGGACAGGACAACTTCACTGCATCAAAGGGACGATGGACGAGGCCATGTACCGTCAAACCTTCCCTCAGCCAGGGCATTGAAAATGGGTTGTGGGTGGGTATTCCAGCATGACAATGATCCAAAACACACGGCCAAGGCAACAAAGGAGTGGCTCAAGAAGAAGCACATTAAGGTCCTGGAGTGGCCTAGCCAGTCTCAAGACCTTAATCCCAGAAAAAATCTTTGGAGGGAGCTGAAGGTTTGAGTTGCCAAACGTCAGCCTCAAAACATTAATGACTGAGATGTGTGCAAACCTGGTGGCCAACTACAAGAAACGTCTGACCTCTGTGATTGCCAACAAGGGTTTTGCCACCAAGTACTAAGTCATGTTTTGCAGAGGGGTCAAATACTTATTTCCCTCATTAAAATGCAAATCAATTTATAACATATTTGACATGCATTTTTCTGGATTTTGTTGTTGTTATCCTGTCTCTCACTGTTCAAATAAACCTACCATTAAAATTATAGACTGATCATGTCTTTGTCAGTGGGCAAACGTACAAAATCAGCAGGGGATCAAATACTTTTTTTCCTCACTGTATACAGTTGAAGTCGGAAGTTTACATACACCTTAGCCAAACATAACGATGGTCATTATGGCCAAACAGTTCTATTTTTGTTTCATCAGACCAGAGGACATTTCTCCAAAAAGTACGATCTTGGTCCCCATGTGCAGTTGCAAACCATAGTCTGGCTTTTTTATGGTGGTTTTGGAGCAGTGGCTTCTTCCTTGCTGAGCAACCGTTCAGGTTCTGTCGATATAGGACTTGTTTTACTGTAGATACTTTTGTACCTGTCTCCTCTAGCATCTTCACAAGGTCCTTTGCTGTTGTTCTGGGATTGATTTGCTCTTTTCGCACCAAAGTACGTTCATCTCTAGATAGCAGGAAACATCGCCTTCCTGAGTGGTAGGATGGCTGCGTGCACCCGTGGTGTTTATACTTGCGTACAATTGTTTGTACAGATGAACGTGGTTCCTTCAGCCGTTTGGAAATTGCTTTCAAGGATGAGCCAGACTTGTGGAGGTCTACTATTTTTATTAGCTGATTTCTTTTGATTTTTCCATGATGTCAAGCAAAGAGGCACTGAGTTTGAAGGTAGGTCTTGAAATACATCCAATTGACTAAAATGATGTCAATTAGCCTATCAGAAGCTTCTAAAGCCATGGCATCATTTTCTGGAATTTTCCAAGCTGTTTAAAGGCACAGTCAATTTAGTGTATGTAAACTTCTGACCCACTGGAATTGTGATACAGTAAATTATAAGTGAAATAATCTGTCTGTAAACAATTGTTGGAAAAATTTATTGTGTCATGCACAAAGTAGATGTCCTAACCGACTTGCCACAACTATAGTTTTCTAAAAAGAAATTTGTGGAGTGGTTGAAAAACGATTTTTAATGACTCCAACCTGAGTGTATGTAAACTTCCGACTTCAACTGTATATATACAGTGGTGGAAAAAAGTATTTAGTCAGCCCCAAATTGTGCAAGTTCTCCCACTTAAAAAGATGAGAGAGGCCTGTAATTTTCATCATAGGTACACGTCAACTATGACAGACAAATTGAGAATATTTTTTCCAGAAAATCACATTGTAGGATTTTTTATGAATTTATTTGCAAATTATTGTGGAAAATAAGTATTTGGTCACCTACAAACAAGCAAGATTTCTGGCTCTCACAGACCTGTAACTTCTTCTTTAAGAGGCTCCTCTGTCCTCCACTCATTACCTGTATTAATGGCACCTGTTTGAACTTGTTATCAGTATAAAAGACACCTGTCCACAACCTCAAACAGTCACACTCCAAACTCCACTATGGCCAAGACCAAAGAGCTGTCAAAGGACACCAGAAACAATATTGTAGACCAGCACCAGGCTGGGAAGACTGAATCTGCAATAGGTAAGCAGCTTGGTTTGAAGAAATCATCTGTGGGAGCAATTATTAGGAAATGGAAGACATACAAGACCAATGATAATCTCCCTCGATCTGGGGCTCCACGCAAGATCTCACCCTGTGGGGTCAAAATGATCACAAGAACGGTTAGCAAAAATCCCAGAACCACACGGGGGGACCTAGTGAATGACCTGCAGAGAGTTGGGACCAAAGTAACAAAGCCTACCATCAGTAACACACTACGCCGCCAGGGACTCAAATCCTGCAGTGCCAGACGTGTCCCCCTGCTTAAGCCAGTACATGTCCAGGCCCGTCTGAAGTATGCTAGAGTGCATTTGGATGATCCAGAAGAGGATTGGGAGAATGTCATATGGTCAGATGAAACCAAAATATAACTTTTTGGTAAAAACTCAACTCGTCATGTTTGGAGGACAAAGAATGCTGAGTTGCATCCAAAGAACACCATACCTACTGTGAAGCATGGGGGTGGAAACATCATGCTTTGGGGCTGTTTTTCTGCAAAGGGACCAGGACGACTGATCCGTGTAAAGGAAAGAATGAATGGGGCCATGTATCGTGAGATTTTGAGTGAAAACCTCCTTCCATCAGCAAGGGCATTGAAGATGAAACGTGGCTGAGTCTTTCAGCATGACAATGATCCCAAACACACCGCCCGGGCAACGAAGGAGTGGCTACATAAGAAGCATTTCAAGGTCCTGGAGTGGCCTAGCCAGTCTCCAGATCTCAACCCCATAGAAAATCTTTGGAGGGAGTTGAAAGTCCGTGTTGAACAGCGACAGCCCCAAAACATCACTGCTCTAGAGGAGATCTGCATGGAGGAATGGGCCAAAATACCAGCAACAGTGTGTGAAAACCTTGTGAAGACTTACAGAAAACGTTTGACCTGTGTCATTGCCAACAAAGGGTATATAACAAAGTATTGAGAAACTTTTGTTATTGACCAAATACTTATTTTCCACCATAATTTGCAAATAAATTCATAAAAAATCCTACAATGTGATTTTCAGGATTTTTTTCTTATTATTTTGTCTGTCATAGTTGAAGTGTACCTATGATGAAAATTACAGGCCTCTCTCATCTTTTTAAGTGGGAGAACTTGCACAATTGGTTGCTGACTAAATACTTTTTCTCAAAAAAATAAAGGGAACACTTAAACAACACAATTTAACTCCAAGTCAATCACACTTCTGTGAAATCAAACTGTCCACTTAGGAAGCAACACTGATTGACAAAAAATGTAACATGCTGTTGTGCAAATGGAATAGACAACACGTGGAAATTATAGGCAATTAGCAAGACACCCCCAATAAAGGACTGGTTTTGCAGGTGGTGACCACAGACCACTTCTCAGTTCCTATGCTTCCTGGCTTATGTTTTGGTCACTTTTGAATGCTGGCGTTGCTTTCACTCTAGTGGTAGCATGAGACGGAGTCTACAACCCACACAAGTGGCTCAGGTAGTGCAGCTCATCCAGCTCATGTGCTTACAGCCCAACACCGTGCAGGACGTTTGGCATTTGCCAGAGAACCCCAAGATTGGCAAATTTGCCACTGGCGCCCTGTGTTCTTCACAGATGAAAGCAGGTTCACACTGAGCACATGTGACAGATGTCTGGAGACGCCGTGGAGAACATTCTGCTGCCTGCAACATCCTCCAGCATGACCGGTTTGGCGGTGGGTCAGTCATGGTGTGGGGTGGCATTTATTTGGGGGGACGCACAGCCCTCCATGTGCTCGCCAGAGGTAGCCTGACTGCCATTAGGTACCGAGATGAGATCCTCAGACCTCTTGTGAGACCATATGCTGGTGCGGTTGGCCCTGGGTTCCTCCTAATGCAAGACAATGCTAGACCTCATGTGGCTGGAGTGTGTCAGCAGTTCCTGCAAGAGGAAGGCATTGATGCTATGGACTGGCCCGCCCGTTCCCCAGACCTGAATCCAATTGAGCACATCTGGGACATCATGTCTCGCTCCATCCACCAACGCCACGTTGCACCACAGACTGTCCAGGAGTTGGCGGATGCTTTAGTCCAGGTCTGGGAGGAGATCCCTCAGGAGACCATCCGCCACCTCATCAGGAGCTTGCCAGGCGTTGTAGGGAGGTCATACAGGCACGTGGAGGCCACACACACTACTGAGCCTCATTTTGACTTGTTTTAATGACATTACATCAAAGTTGGATCAGCCTGTAGTGTGGTTTTCCACTTTAATGTTGAGGGTGACTCCAAATCCAGACCTCCATGGGTTGATAAATTTGATTTCCATTGATAATTTTTGTGTGATTTTGTTGTCAGCACATTCAACTATGTAATGAAAAAAGTATTTAATAAGATTATTTCATTCATTCAGATCTAGGATGTGTTATTTTAGTGTTCCCTTAATTTTTTGGAGCAGTGTATATATTTTTTTGTGCAACATCAAAAAAAAAATACGGTTTTTACTTTGTCATTATGGGGTATTGTGTGTAGATTGATGAGCGGGGGAAAAAACTATTGAATAAATGTTAGAATAAGGCTGTAACGTAACAAAATGTGAAAGTCAAGGGGTCTGAATACTTTCTGAATGCACTGTGTGTGTGTGTGTGTGTGTGTGTGTGTGTGTGTGTGTGTGTGTGTGTGTGTGTGTGTGTGTGTGTGTGTGTGTGTGTGCGTGTACGTGTCAGCTTCATTTCTTCAACATGTTCATCACCAGGACCAGTCATACTATATGACATCACACCACCCCAACCAACAGATGGTCATTTTCCAGCCCATGACCCCTTTATCTCTCTCTCCTCTTTCTCCTCTCACCTGTCTGCCTCCTCTCTCTCTCTCCTCTCACCCCTGTCTCCCTCCTCCTCTCACCCCTGTCTCCCCTCCTCCTCCTCCTCTCTCCTCATTCTCCTCTCACCCCTGTCTCCCTCCTCCTCTCTCTCTCCTAATTCTCCTCTCACCCCTGTCACCCTCCTCCTCTCTCTCTCCTCATTCTCCTCTCACCCCTGTCTCCCTCCTCCTCTCTCTCTCCTCATTATCCTCTCACCCGTGTCTCCCCTACTCCTCTCTCTCTCCCCTCTCTCCTTTCATGCCCTCTTCATGCAGCCAGCTACCTGGCCCTCTGAGTCTCTTCCTGTTAAATCAGGCTTTCACACCCACTTGTTCTGGTTCATTAAATGGTAGATGAAGGTGTTCCTTGTGACAACACATTCTACCTGTATTTTTAAGCCTGCAGGCACCATAGTGTACCTGCTAGACTAATACAGACGCTTGACACCTGTACATGAAAGGTTATTAGACACACACTCACACTCACACACAAACACTCATATGCATGCACTGACACTTGCACACGCATACAAACACGTAACGCAGCGTACATGCACACATACACAGGCACAGGCACAGGCACACGCACACACACACACCTGATATTGTCCTCCTCCTCTGTCCTCCAGATGGCGAACTGTATTCTGGAACATCAGCTGACTTCATGGGGCGGGACTTTGCCATTTTCCGTACTCTGGGACAGCATCACCCAATCAGAACAGAGCAACACGACTCCCGCTGGCTGAACGGTGAGATGGAGATAAAGAGCATTCTCAGTTCTAATGATCTCAGTTCATTGAACTACACTTGCATGATGAGTAACTTTGCTTGAGTCTTGAAGACTTATGTTAGCTCCGCAAGCCGATGCCTTTAGCTCAGCTAGCTAAAAGTCTGTTGGCATGCAGACGAGCCGGATTAAAACCATCTTAATTTGAGACAGAAAGTGTCTCAAAGACGGAATCTAAAAACACGAACAGACAGAAGCTGTGACAGTAAGTTGTTCTCAGAGTAAGATAACAAAGGAGACATACAGAGAAGACCGTGGAGAACTATTGTTAAGTGTTAAATCCTCTGTGTGATTGACATGACTGCAGAGAGGGCGTGGTAGCAGACACAGTATGTTAAGGATTTTACTGGGGAAGACCTCACGGATTCCCTATTTCATTATTTGTTAAATTATTTCTTTTTTTGTGTAGACCCCAGGTTTGTGAGTGTCCATCTGATCCCAGAGAGTGACAACCAAGAGGATGACAAGATCTACCTGTTCTTCAGAGAGAATGCTATGGATGGGGAACACGCAGGGAAGGCTACACAAGCACGCATCGGACAGCTCTGCAAGGTGCACACACAAACACACTCGGACACCTTAGACTGAAACAGCTTCCTCTATCTCTAACAGAGTAAATGAGTGACAGCGTGTTTTCCATAATGGATGCTTTCATAACTAGGTATCTCTCTCCTCTCAGGTTATATTTAGCTGTGAGGTTTGTTGTGTTAGTGGCTCTCCTCTTACTGAGGGAAACCTGAGAGGGAGAGGTGGTTAATAAATGACACTAGCGCCAGAGAGAAAGAAAGAGAGCACATAACAATGGTGGTACTGTTAGGATAATGTCTGGTATTGGCACAGACTAGTGTCTCTTCAGCCACCATGTAGCATACACACGCACACCCTCCCCCCTCCCAGGCTGATCTCTCAGTATGTGAGAAATTTGCTCTTCTCTACTCAACACAATCCATTCATTATACAGGATGTCAGCCTTAATAGACAGTAATAAATCACTGTGAATCTGGGTGTGGATGTGTTTATTTTCTCACACTGGGAGCCTGTATTGTGTCGACGTGTCCAGAAAAACAAACACGCAAATGCAGACTAAAGTCACTTTTGTTTTGATAAAGTAATATAAGAATCTGTAAGACAGCTCCATTAAGCCGTTGTTGTCTGTTCAGGTGTCAATCATAGTTATAAAATGCAGTATTGTAGTATTGTTTTGTAGGGGGATGTAGTAAATCTTTGAGAGGTTCATTCTGGACTCTGGTATTTCCTCTATCAGAATGACTTTGGAGGCCACAGGAGTCTTGTGAATAAGTGGACCACGTTCCTGAAGGCCAGACTGGTCTGTTCTGTACCTGGACTCAACGGCATAGACACACACTTTGACGAACTTCGTGAGTGTTTAACTACTACTGTGTATGTGTTGTATTCTATGTCGTGTGTGTGTCTGTGTGGGTATGGCTGGCCATGCTTTCTACTTGGCTACCCCTCACCCGGCCACCAGCTCTGCAGCCTCCGCTGCAACTTGCCCATGCCCCCCCTGCTTCTCCTTCACCCAAATTCAGACAGCTGATGTTCTAAAAGAGCTGCAAAATCTGAACCCCTACAAATCAGCTGGGCTAGACAATCTGGACCCTTTCTTTCTAAAATTAGCTGCCGAAATTGTCGCAACCCCTATTACTAGCCTGTTCAACCTCTCATATCATCTGAGATCCCCAGAGATTGGAAAGCTGCCACGGTCATCCCTCTCTTCAAAGGGGTTGACACTCTAGATTCAAACTGTTACAGACCTATATCCATCCCGTCCTGCCTTTCGAAAGTATTTGAAAGCCAAGTTAAAAAACAGATCACCGACCATTTTGAATTCCACCGTACCTTCTCCGCTATGCAATCTGGTTTCCGAGCTGGTCATGGGTGCACCTCAGCCACGCTCAAAGTCCAAAACTATATTATAATATATATCGATAAAAGACAGTACTGTGCAGCCGTCTTCATCGACCTGGCCAAGGCTTTCGACTCTATCAATCACCGCATACTTCTTGGCAGACTAAATAGCCTTGGTTTCTCAAATGACTGCCTCACCTGGTTCACCAACTACTTCTCAGATAGAGTTCAATGTGTCAAATCGGAGGGCCTGTTGTCTGGACCTCTGGCAGTCTCTATGGAGGTGCCACAGGGTTCAATTCTCGGGCCGACTCTATTCTCTGTGTATCTCAATGATGTCGCTCTTGCTGCTGGTGACTCTCAGATCCACTTATACGCAGACGACACCATTTTGTATACATCTGGCCCTTCATTGGACACTGTGTTAACAAACCTCCAAACGAGCTTCAATGCCATACAACACTCCTTCTGTAGCCTCCAACTGCTAGTAAAACTAAATGCATGCTCTTCAATCAAACGCTGCTTGCACCCGCCCGCCCGACTAGAATCACTACTCTCGGCAGGTCTGACTTAGAATATGTGGACAACTACAAATATCTAGGTGTCTGGTTAGACCGTAAACTCTCCTTCCAGACTCACATTAAGCATCTCCAATCCAAAGTTCAATCTAAAATCGGCTTCCTATTTCGCAACAAAGCCTCCTTCACTCATGCTGCCAAACATGCCCTCGTAAAACGGACTATCCTACCGAACCTTGACTTCGGCGATGTCATTTATAAAATAGACTCCAACACTCAACTCAGCAAATTGGATGTATTCTATCACAGTGCCATCCATTTTGTCCATTTCGTCTCCCGAGTGGCGCAGTGGTCTAAGGCACTGCATCGCAGTGCTAGCTGTGCCACTAGAGATCCTGGTTCGAATCCAGGCTCTGTCGTAGCCGGCCGCGACCGGGAGACCCATTGGGCGGCGCACAATTGGCTCAGCGTCGTCCAGGGTAGGGGAGGGAATGACCGGCAGGGATGTAGCTCAGTTGGTAGAGCATGGCGTTTGCAACGCCAGGGATGTGGGTTTGATTCCCATGGGGGGCCAGTATAAAAAATTATGTATGCACTCACTAACTGTAAGTCGCTCTGGATAAGAGCGTCTGCTAAATGACTAAAATGTAAATGTAAATGTAAAATGTCACCAAAGCCCCATATACTACCCACCATTGTGACCTGTACGCTCTCGTTGGCTGGACCTCACTACATATTTGTCGCCAAACCCACTGGCTCCAGGTCATCTATAAATCACTGCTAGGCAAATCCCTGCCTTACCTGAGCTCATTGGTCACCATAGCAACACCCACCCGTAGTATGCGCTCCAGCAGGTACAGTTGAAGTCAGAAGATTACATACACTTAGGTTGGAGTCAATAAAACTTGTCTTTCAACCACGCCACAAATTTCTTGTTAACAAACTATAGTTTTGGCAAGTCGGTTAGGACATCTACCTTGTGCATGACACAAGTAATTTTTCCAACAATTGTTTACAGACAGATTATTTCACATATAATTCACTTCCAGTGGGTCAGAAGTTTACATACATTAAGTTGACTGTGCCTTTAAAGAGCTTGGAAAATTCCAGAAAATGATGCCATGGCTTTTGAAGCTTCTGATAGGCTAATTGACATCATTTGAGTCAATTGGAGGTGTACCGGTGGATGTATATCAAGGCCTACCTTCAAACTCAGTGCCTCTTTGCATGACATCATGGGAAAATCAAAAGAAATCAGCCTTGATCTAAAAAAAAATAATATTGTAGACCTCCACAAGTCTGGTTCATCCTTGGGAGCAATTCCCAAACGCCTGAAGGTACCACGTTCATCTGTACAAACAATAGCCATGTTCTGTCTCCTACAGATAAACGTACTTTGGTGCAAAAAGTGCAAATGAATCCCAGAACAACAGCAAAGGACCTTGTGAAGATGCTGGAGGAAACAGGTACAAAAGTATCTATATCCTCAGTAAAACGAGTCCTATATTGACATAACCTGAAAGGCCGCTCAGCAAGGAAGAAGCCACTGCTCCAAAACAGCCTAAAAAAAGCCAGACTACGGTTTGCAACGGCACATGGGGACAAGATCGTACTTTTTGGAGCAATGTCCTCTGGTCTGATGAAACAAAAATAGAACTGATTGGCCATATTGACCATCGGTATGTTTGAAGGAAAAAGGGGGTACTTGCAAGCCGAAGATCACCATCCCAACCGTGAAGCACGGGGGTGGCAGCATAATGCTGTGGGGGTGCTTTGTTGCAGGAGGGACTGGTGCACTTCACAAAATAGATGGCATCATGAGGAAGGAAACTTATATGGATATATTGAAGCAACATCTCAAGACATCAGTCAGGAAGTTAAAGCTTGGTAGTAAATGGGTCTTCCAAATGGACAATGACCCCAAGCATACCCCAAGCAAGTTGTGGCAAAATGGCTTAAGGACAACAAAATCAAGGTATTGGAGTGGCCATTACAAAGCCCTGACCTCAATCCTATATAACATTTGTGGGCAGAACTGAAAAAGTATGTGCGAGCAAGGAGGCCTATGAACCTGACTCAGTTACACCAGCTCTGTCAGGAGGAATGGGCCAAAATTCACCCAACTTATTGTGGAAGCTTGTTGAAGGCTACACGAAACGTTTGACCTAAGTTAAACAATTTAAAGACAATGCTACCAAATACTAATTGAGTGTATGTAAACATCTGACCCACTGGGAATGTGATGAAAGAAATAAAAGCTTAAATAAATCATTCTCTCTACTATTATTCTGACATTTCACATTCTTAAAATAAAGTGGTGAGCCTAACTGACCTAAGACAGGGAATTTTTACTAGGACTAAATGTCAGGAATTGTGAAAAACTTAGTTTAAATGTATTTGGCTAAGGTGTGTGTAAACTTCAGATTTCAACTGTATATCTCACTAGTCATCCCCAAAGCCAACACCTCCTTTGGCCGCCATTCCTTCCAGTTCTCTGCTGACAATGACTGGAACGAACTGCAAAAATCTCTGAAGCTGGAGACTCTTATCTCCCTCACTAACTTTAAGCATCAGTTGTCAGAGCAGTTTACCGATCACTGCACCTGTACACAGCCCATCTGTAATTAGCCCACCCATCTACCTAATCCCCATATTGTTGTCTTCTGCACATCTATCACTCCAGTGACCTCCATAACTTACTACATTTGCACACACTGTATATAGATTTTCTGTTGTGTTATTGACTCTACGTTTTGTTTATTCCATATGTACCTCTGTGTTGTTGTTTTTTTTATCGCACTGCTTTGCTTTATCTTGGCCAGGTCGCAGTTGTAAATGAGAACTTGTTCTCAACTGGCTTACCTGGTTAAATAAAGGTGATATAAAAAAAAGAAAAAAAAAGAGGGGCTGTGGTGTGTGTGGATATGTTTTGGGGAAACAAAATCATCTACTGTATATGTTTAATGCTACTGTATTGTGTTTTGTTCTCGAGGCTAACACTTCAAGATTGTTTTTGTTCTCAGAGGATGTGGTTCTGATGAGCTCTAAGGATCCCAAGAACCCCATTATCTATGCAGTGTTCACTACATCCAGGTACGTACACCTGTCACTCACCTGTTTAAACTCCCATTGGAGGTGTATGGATCCTGACGAAGATTTTTGCATAAGATGTGTGTATCTAACTGATGAACCTCTATCTCTCTCGCTACCTCAGTAACATCTTCAAGGGTTCAGCAGTGTGTCTGTACAGCATGGCAGACATCAGAAGGGTTTTTCTCGGTCCCTATGCCCACAGAGACGGCCCTAACTACCAGTGGGTTCCTTTCCAGGGACGGGTACCATACCCACGGCCCGGAACGGTAAGGGCATGACGGGGTTTGTGGGTGGGGGAGGGGGAGGGGCACACTTTACTTGAAGGGGCTATACATAAAGCATTTACAACACTTTTATAAGTACAGTATTGCAAACTAGTGGATGAAATTGGACATGAAAGTAAGTATCCACATTGTAATGGGTATATATGAATCCACAGTGCCCCAGCAAGACGTTCGGTGGATTTGATTCGACAAAGGACTTGCCTGATGATGTCATAACATTTGCGAGAGGTCACCCGGCGATGTTTAACCCCGTCTACCCCATCAACAACCGACCAATCATAGTCAAGACGGACACAGACTACCAGTTCACACAGATAGTGGTGGACAGAGTGGAGGCTGAGGACGGACAGTATGACGTCATGTTCATAGGCACAGGTACACACATACACATACACACAATTGCTCGCACGCACACGTAAACACATGCACACACACACACACACACACACACACACACACACACACACAGTAATGTAATGTGTGTATGTTGTCTATGTGTTGTAGATATGGGTACAGTGCTGAAGGTGGTGTCCATCCCCAGAGGGTCCTGGCATGACCTGGAGGAGGTTCTACTGGAGGAGATGACTGTGTTCAGGGTAGGTTACACCTACTGATATAGTATACAGGACAAGACAACTACAGCTACATGTACAGTACATTAGCACATACTTATTACTCATACAGCTAAGGTATGATGATAACCAAAACATATGGTTTAACACAATATGGGTTTGTAACATTTTTCATGTGTTTTCTCCCAGGAACAAACTGCTATTACAGCGATGGAACTCTCTACGAAGCAGGTAGCTAATGCTGATCATATTCCTCATGACATTAGCAGGACAGAAAAGGATGTCATATCTATGGGAAAACAAACAAGGCAGTCCTACATTGCAGAACCATGGCCTTAGTTAAGCTACAAATCAAATGTTATTTGTCACATGCTTCGTAAACAACAGGTGTACAGATCCAGCCTCTAAATAGTAATACATAATCTTTCTGACATACAGAGTCAGCTACATTCAAACGTAATGAAGTAGTAGTGTTTCTCACTAGTAGTCAGCTTTCATCAACACCAACTAGTGTTCAACACGCTAACTCGCACACTGAGCTGCAAAAGAGAGGGACACTACCATAGAAGAACTGAATGAAATCTATGCTATTCACAGAATTGCATTGTATTCCTAATACAGACTTGATTTGTCCTGTCAATGTCATGGGTGACACACCTAGCCTGAGGGCTGTATAGGGACAAAAGATACACTCTTTATAAGATGTTAACACGATGCTGACTGTCTAAGACAGATGTCTATTGTTAGGATGTCAACCAACTGGTCCCTAATATGTAGGAAGGAAGAAAACTCTATTAGTGTGCTATAGAAGGTGCCATACACCAATAATAATATGATGTGGTCTTTCTTTTACTGTGAAACACTACGGGGCTCTGAGAAAATTTAGAAACCACTATGCATAACATATAAATAATGCATCAATTTGATCAGGTATTTAGAATATTTCCTCTCTGTTTCCACAGCAACAGTTGTACCTCGGCTCAGAGCTGGGTGTATCCCAGATGCCTTTGCATCGCTGTGAGGTGTACGGGAAGGCCTGTGCTGAGTGCTGTCTGGCTAGAGACCCTTACTGTGCCTGGGATGGGACAGAGTGCTCACGATACTTTCCCATGGCAAAGAGGTATGCTCACACGCACACACACTCATTGCATAGTGAACGTTCAAGCATTGTTATTCTCATTCAAAGACTGCACATAATGGGTACATTATTAAGTAGAGAAAATCTGATCAGAGGGATTGTTCATATCCAGAGATTATATACAGTATGTCGGCTAGGTGTTTCTGTAGAGGTGGGTCTGATAATGAATAGAGCAGGCCTTGTGTTGGAGCCAGAAAGCCCTGAAGGTAGCCAGGTCACATTTCTCACTCAAACACAGAAAAATAACCTGAACTTTGTTTACTGGCAATGAGAACCAATGTCAGTCATACCTGCAGGCAGAATGTCTGGGTGAATGCAGGGTGAAATAAAGTGTTAAAGGTTCTAGCTGTGTATAGGAGGAGGGTGTGTGTGTGTGTGTGTGTGTGTGTGTGTGTGCCTCCCACCCACTCATAAAGTCTCCACTGGGTTATTGATTTGAGCTCTAGCCTGAAGGTCTCATATTTCTACATCTTTTAGACTCTGAATACTCTCATACTCTCTGAGAAAACAGCCCTGTAGTGAAGAGATTTTCTGTGAGAGAAGACACTTCGTCTTTCTCAATGAATAAATCTCTGTTTTGTTTCTCACTCTGGATATTCCATTGTTTATTCCGTCATTATCCTTGGCTGAGTATCCTTGGCTGAGGGTGACTGTGTGAGTCAGGCTGTGTAGCATAGTTAGAGTGAGTGATTGATTGATTAGGTCTGAATTCCTCAGTCTCAGCCACCCTGTAATTATAACTAAGTATGTGGTCTACAGTGGTATGAAGCTCACTGGTGTTAGTTTATCAGCCCGGCTCACAACCACCAGCACAGCACATCCAAAATCACAAACATGCACGTGCACACTCACAAACTGACTGTTGACATGTGTGTTTTTGCAGGAGGACAAGGAGACAGGACATCAGGAATGGAGACCCTTTAACCCAGTGTTCAGATCTGCAGCATCATGGTATGTATTCACAAATAAACCTCATCATGCAGTATTCCTCTCTTCCCTTCACATTATAATGGTGCTGAGTTCATGTAGTGTTCACACTATTATTTGTGTGTGTGTCCCTGTAGATAACCTGAATGGGCAGCCCACGGTGCTGGATAAGAAAGTGTATGGAGTGGAGAACAGCAGTACGTTCCTGGAGTGTAGCGCCAAGTCCCAGAGAGCACTCACCTACTGGCAGTACCAACAAGCCAACGACGACAGGAGACAAGACGTATGAAACCTGCTTTCACAAATCCTTAGACATACTGTAGAACTCCAGATAGCGTTTAAATCATGATTTCCATAAATTAGTGAAATACTGATCCAGCACATCATACATATTTCTGTATTACTATAGATACTAGATCCTGTACTGTGACTAAGTAAACAATACTAAAAATAATGGATATGAAATGTAGTGCTGTTTATCTTAGTATGTAAAGTAAAACCAAGTCAAGTGAAGTAATCATTGTATTATTCCTCTCTGTGCAGATCAAAGCAGATGATCGTTTTGTACGTACGGAGCTGGGCCTGCTGATCCGCACGTTGGACAAGAAGGATTCGGGGACGTATGTGTGCCAGGCAGTAGAACACGGCTTCATGCAGATGCTCCTAAAGGTCACCCTGGAAGTCATCGACACTGAACGCCTCGACGATCTCATTCACCGTGATGACGAAGAAGCCGCACACACCGCTACCACACACACCACCGCCCGGGACACACCCACAGCCCGGGAACCGCACAATCAGAAGCTTTGGTACCGTGATTTCCTGTCGTTAGTGAACCACCCGACCCTGAACAGCGTGGATGAGTTCTGTGAGCAAGTGTGGAAGAGGGAGAGGAAGCAGAGGAGGCAGAAAGCAAACCTAGCCCAACAGGTCCAGCAACATCCGCTACACCAGCAGCAGCAACAGCAGCAGCAGCAGGGCCTCGTGCACGCTCACACCCACGTGCACACCCACGGCCTGGCGGCCAAGTGGAAACACCTGCAGGAGAGGCAAAAGGGCCGCAACCGCCGGACCCACGAACTGGAGAGAGCCCCCCGCAGCGTCTGACCTCTCACCCACTGAATCCCATGACCCTCCAACCCTCAACCCACGTACCCTGTCCTCGTCCATGAACACCCTCCGAACATCCTCCCCTGCCTCCTCTGCCCCATACAGAGATAAAGACTCATTCCACACAGACTTTGTACAGAAAATCTCAACTGGAAACAAAGGCAATATCCCACCCTGGTCGGTGTGTGTAGGCTGCGTGGGCACCCATGTTTACACAGGGACACAGGATGTTACAGGACACCAGATGATACAGTACTATTATATTACATTATCTCAGCTGGCCTCTGTGGCCCCAGCACCATGGAGGGACAGTGTCAACCAACATGAGGACTGGACTTCATGTAGTCACATGCTCTCTCTACTATTGAATAACCTATTGAAAACATGTCTCTGTCTCCACAATTGTGTAGCTTTGTATGTCTCATCGTTGTTGTCCACCCATATATAGTAGGTAGCTTCTCCTAACAACCACTATCTTGGAACAAGGGATGATAGTGTTTGATGACATTATTGCGCAGAGATGGACCTTGTGTGTATCACAAGGACAATTATAATATACAGGTCATGTAAAGCACAACGGTTTGATGTTGAGAAGATTCTATTAGATATGAAGAGTTCTGAGGAGAGAGGAGGATGCCCAAGCACTGCAAGAAACTTCACAGAGTAGCCATGGATTTGTAACTAATGTTGTTATTCTAACTTAAATTCGACATGTAAATATGCTTTGATGCGCCCTTTTACTAAAGGGAATGGTTTGCGGTTTTCTTGTTACATGTACAGTTGAAGTCGGAAGTTTACATACACCTTAGCCAAATACATTTAAACTCAGTTTTTCACAATTCCTAACACATAATCCTAGTAAAGATTCCATGTCTTAGGTCAGTTAGGATCACCTCTTTATTTTAAGAATGTGAAATGTCAGAATAATAGTAGTAGCATTTATTTCTTTCATCACATTTCCAGTTGGTCAGAAGTTTATATACACTCAATTAGTATTTGGTAGCATTGCTTTTAAATTGCTTAACCTGGGTCAAACGTTTCGGGGAGTCTTCCACAAGCTTCCCACAATAAGTTGGGTGAATTTTGGCCTGGTGTAACTGAGTCAGGTTTGTAGGCCTCCTTGCTCGCACATGCTTTTTCAGTTCTGCCCACACATTTTCTACAGGATTGAGATCAGGGCTTTGTGATGGCCACTCCAATACCTTGACTTTGTTGTCCTTAAGCCATTTTGCCACAACTTTTGGAAGTATGCTTGGGGTCATTGTCCATTTGGAAGACCCATTTGCGACCAAGCTTTAACTTCCTGACTGATGTCTTGAGATGTTGCTTCAATATATCCACCTAATTTTCCTTCCTCATGATGCCATCTATTTTGTGAAGTGCACCAGTCCCTCCTGCAGCAAAGCACCCGCACAGCATGATGCTGCCACCCCGTGCTTCACGGTTGGGATGGTGTTCTTCAGCTTGCAAGCGTCCACCTTTTTCCTCCAAACATAACGATGGTCAATATGGCCAAACAGTTATATTTTTGTTTCATCAGACCAGAGGACATTTCTCCAAAAAGTACGATCTTTGTACCCATGTGCAGTTGCAAACCATAGTCTGGCTTTTTTATGGCAGTTTTGGAGCAGTGGCTTCTTCCTTGCTGAGCGGCCTGTCAGGTTATGTCGATATAGGACTCGTTTTACTGTGGATATAGATACTTTTGTACCTGTTTCCTCCAACATCTTCACAAGGTCATTTGCTGTTGTTCTGGGATTGATTTGCACTTTTCGCACCAAAGTACGTTCATCTCTAGGAGGTGGAACGCGTCTCCTTCCTGAGTGGTATGACGGCTGCGTGGTCCCATGGTGTTTATACTTGCGTACTATTGTTTGTACAGATGAATGTGGTACCTTCAGGCATTTGGAAATTGCTCCCAAGGATGAACCAGACTTGTGGAGGTCTACAATTTTTTTTCTGAGGTCTTGGCTGATTTCTTTTGATTTTCCCATGATGACATGCAAAGAGGCACTGAGTTTGAAGGTAGGCCTTGAAATACATCCACAGGTACACCTCCAATTGACTCAAATGATGTCAATTAGCCTATCAGAAGCTTCTAAAGCCATGACATCATTTTCTGGAATTTTCCAAGTTGTTTAAAGGCACAGTCAACATAGTGTATGTAAACTTCTGACCCACTGGAATTGTGATACAGTGAATTATAAGTGTAATAATCTGTTTGTAAACAATTGTTGGAAAAATTACTTGTGTCATGCACAAAGTAGATGTCCTAACCGACTTGCCAAAACTATAGTTTGTTAACAAGACATTTGTGGAGTGGTTGAAAAACAAGTTTTAATGACTCCAACCTAAGTGTATGTAAACTTCCGATTTCAACTGTACATGATGCTGTTTCACCATAAACAATTGTTTTTAAGAAAAGGTGATTTTTTTGGGGGGGTTAAAAAAGTATCCAACATGATTAAGTGTATAGATAAACTCTCCCTTTCAAGACACAAATGTTTTAATGTTTTATTTAGATGTTTGTCTTTTTTATTTGTTCAGAGCCCTGTATAAAAAATATGTTACATAGTTGAAGTTGACTTTATTTTAAATATCTTCTTTATTTTAAGTTTCAGTCAAACCACTGCATCGCAGCTTAACTAAGGGCTCTTTTCAATCTGTATCGCTGAAGCGTTAAAGATTGCGTGATAGAAATGTAAAAGTAATTTCTGATTAAGATGACATATGCAGCGTTTACCGTGAATGAAGTCTCCGCCAACGCGGGAACATTGCCGTTAAATTTCAATCATGCTGTAACGCTGAACGTCCGCGATGCGGATTGAATAGAACTCTAAAACTTTGACATGTCTCTGCATCGACTCTGTCACATGTTGTTTGATTGAACCAATTATTCAATTTGCATAAAATAAATATTTTCCACCACATACATATTTATTGATATACGTACATTGTGATTTGACAGGACCAACTAACAGAGTAAAAACTTTCCACTCATAAAAAAAACACCACTGGTGTTTTATGGAACATGCAGGTTTCTATTACAATAGTTAGCATACCACCACTGTACCATATATGTCCATGTCCGTTTGTACATGTCAGCCTGCAAATGTACTACATAGCATATCATACTCTTCCAGCAATACACACATGTATTTTGTTATTTTCCAGGAGCATGGTGTATCTGTTCTTCTATGTATTTTCAGTAGAATCACTACATTATGTACTTTACATGTGTTTTCTATATACTTCAGGAGGTGTGTTTCATTTTTGAATATCTCAACAGAGAGAGACAGACACAGATAACCTGTAATGTTGCTGTGAACACAACATACACATTGAAGAGTAAATCCTATGGTTCAACAGTATGACACAGTGCTAATTGCATGTGAATGCCATTCTAGTGTACCTTTGTTTATATAACTGTGTATTGTTTAATGTTGTTTGTGATGATATGCTCTTAGCTTAGAGGCAGCACACGTTAACCTGTTACTGAGTTGTAAATACTCTATTTTCAGTAGGAAATATAAGGCACAGAATGAATTACTGGAAGTACTGACATACTTTGAAGAACACTAAAGTACTGCATAACTGAAGTACACTGACTTAAATTTTACCATACCAGAGTTCCTTTTTTAGAACCGGTATACTACAGTATAAGAGGTGTTGGTTCTCTGTACCGGTCATCTCCAGCCCACTTCAACCACTGGCAGGACTGCTGAGTGTAAATGAGGGAGTAAACTGCTGCTGCTGTATAGACTGTGTTTGGCATGATGATGATGATGATGATGATGATGATGTACTCTATTGTTCTAATAAAAGTATCTTCCTAAAGCCTGGTCTTACTGACCCTGTCATGTGTTATTTGTTATATCTGAGATTGTTGCTCTACTACACTGCCACAATGCTACTATGTCCTATGCCACTTAAAGGGGCACTCTGCAATTGGTACATAAAGTGTTGCACTTTAAATTAATGATACAGTATATACCCATTGATTCTTGAAGAATATAACATCTAAATGCCTAATGAGCTTAGTTCAACTGTCGTACCTCATCATAACTCAAAATATAAGCTTGTTTTACTTAATTGTTTGTAAATAATGTAATTGTAACAAAGACTGTATAGCATCAACTTGGGCTGGGATTCAATCTGATTGGTTGTGTCCGCAATACACATATAAGTCAATGTTCCCGTGTTCGCAGTGACCACATTCAATTTTCCAATTCCGCGATCTGATTGAATCCCAGCCTTGGTTAAAGCTACAATATTGATCTCATGGTTCAGTCCTTGCATCCATAGTTCTGTCTATGAATTTGAAAGTGGTTACATTTCTCCAGCCCCAGCCCTCAGATTTTTATTAAAAGTGTGGCGGGATTCCCGCTTAGTTGTTGTTTGAACTGCATATTTCCCCTTTAAAAACTAAAATACACGGTGGGCTTGGTCACATTAATCTATATAAAAGATCAACTCAATGAGAAGAGACATTTGGTTGTCGAGGGTGTCGTTACAGATTTTATATTTTGTTACCATGAGACAATAGTTGTAATACAATTGCAGCATTGTAAATTGTAAATAAACACACACAATTATATTCCATGCACTAAAGCTATAGACCTCTTGGTGCTGAAAGATAGTTTCTTTTTAAATATATAAATTTAGCTAACAGCACACAGCCCATCAGTGTTAAATAAGTATTATAAATTACAGGCACTGAAAAGTATAATTGATGCTCGATGATTGATCATCTCGTCCTATGATAAAAACAAACAAACAGAAATCTCTGCGGGTTGATGATGTTATGGTTTGACATAGCTGACATGCCTTTGCTTTGAAACCTTACTCTCTGTCTTGTGGTACGTGACTGCCCCCCTCTGGCAGAGTGGACCTTTGTCATCATGTATAAGTTACAACTATCGTCCTGTCCCTCACCACTAGGGACCACCACAACTCTCACAAAGGACTGATATATCCAAAGGAACAACTGACACGAGGGACAGAATTAGAGAGATACACTTCCCCTTTCACTGTGAAACAAGGTCCTCGTTAAGAAAGTAAGAAATCACTAAATCAATTCCCAATGTCCAAATATAAGAAAAATTAATAAATAGAAAATACTAATGTCACTATGATCCACCTAATACAGTCCTCCTCCTCTCTCTCTCCTTCCTCTCCTTTACAGCGACTGAGGGGTGGAGGGATCAGTTTAACTCTCTTTTTGCCTGGTTTAGAGGAGGTGAAATGATGCAGAGATACAGTCATTTATCACATGCTACTGTGGGGAGACGCTGGGTTAGTTTTCACCTGGGGAATAGGGTTCTACTGGAGAGCATGAATCACACACACACACACACACACACAAACACACATAGACACATGCACGCACACAGGTACACACAAACACACACACACACAGATTGACCCTTTAAAAAAATATTTTTTGACAATGATTGTAACTTTTTCTGTGCATAATATTTCCACCATAATTTCCTATGACCAAAAACAGCTTCTGGACATCAGAACAGCGATCACTAACCTCGATTTGGATGAAGACATCTTCTTCAATGAGTCAGCAGGTGTGGATGTACTGCTCATCCCAGACCAGGCCCTAATCTCCGGGACTCCAAAGAGGAAGAGACGGCGCAAGAGAGAAAAATGAGCGGTCTCCCTGACGAGACTACGGCGGTGAGTAAATAAACCGCCTCCACCCTCCGTTCTATTGGCGAAACGTATAATAACTAGAGAACAAACTAGACGAGCTCCGTTCAAGACTATCCTATCAACGGGACCTGAAGAACTGTAATATCCTATGTTTCTCGGAGTCGTGGCTGAACAAGGACATGGGTAATATACATCTAGCTGGTTTTTCTATGCATCGTCAAGACCGAACCGCAGCTTTGGGTAAGGTTAAGGGGGGAGGTGTGTGTCTCTTTGTTAACAACAGCTGGTACATGAGATCTAATGTTAAGGAAGTCTGGAGGTTTTGCTTGCCTGAGTTAGAATACCTCATGATAAGCTGCAGACCATACTATTTACCAAGAGAGTTTTCATCTATATTTTTCAAGGCTGTCTATTTACCACCACAAACCGATGCTGGCACTAAGACCGCACTTAACGAGCTATATAGGGCAATAAGCAAACAATAACATTTACATCCAGAGGTGATGCTCCTAATGGCCAGTGATTTTAATGCAGTGAAACTGAAATCCATCTTAACTCATTTTTACCAGCACGCCACCTGTGCAACTAGAGGCAAAAAAACTCTAGATCACCTTTACTCCACACACAGAAACGCATACAAAGCTCACCCTCGCCCTCCATTTGGCAAATCTGACCATAACTCTATCGTCCTGATTCCTGCTTACAAGCAAAAATTCAAACAGGAAGTACAGTGGGGAAAAAAGTATTTAGTCAGCCACCAATTGTGCAAGTTCTCCCACTTAAAAAGATGAGAGAGGCCTGTAATTTTCATCATAGGTACACATCAACTATCACAGACAAAATGAGAGAAAAAAAATCCAGAAAATCACATTGTAGGATTTTTAATGAATTTATTTGCAAATTATGGTGGAAAATAAGTATTTGGTCAATAACAAAAGTTTCTCAATACTTTGTTATATACCCTTTGTTGGCAATGACACAGGTCAAACGTTTTCTGTAAGTCTTCACAAGGTTTTCACACACTGTTGCTGGTATTTTGGCCCATTCCTCCATGCAGATCTCCTCTAGAGCAGTGATGTTTTGGGGCTGTCGCTGGGCAACACGGACTTTCAACTCCCTCCAAAGATTTTCTATGGGGTTGAGATCTGGAGACTGGCTAGGCCACTCCAGGACCTTGAAATGCTTCTTACGAAGCCACTCCTTCGTTGCCCGGGCGGTGTGTTTGGGATCATTGTCATGCTGAAAGACCCAGCCACGTTGCATCTTCAATGCCCTTGCTGATGGAAGGAGGTTTTCACTCAAAATCTCACGATACATGGCCCCATTCATTATTTCCTTTACACGGATCAGTCGTCCTGGTCCCTTTGCAAAAAAAACAGCCCCAAAGCATGATGTTTCCACCCACTTGCTTCACAGTAGGGATGGTGTTCTTTGGATGCAACTCAGCATTCTTTGTCCTCCAAACACGACGAGTTGAGTTTTTACCAAAAAGTTCTATTTTGGTTTCATCTGACCATATGACATTCTCCCAATCCTCTTCTGGATCATCCAAATGCACTCTAGCAAACTTCAGACGGGCCTGGACATGTACTGGCTTAAGCAGGGGGACACGTCTGGCACTGCAGGATTTGAGTCCCTGGCGGCGTAGTGTGTTACTGATGGTAGGCTTTGTTACTTTGGTCCCAGCTCTCTGCAGGTCATTCACTAGGTCCCCCCGTGTGGTTCTGGGATTTTTGCTCACCGTTCTTGTGATCATTTTGACCCCACGGGGTGAGATCTTGCGTGGAGCGCCAGATCGAGGGAGATTATCAGTGGTCTTGTATGTCTTCCATTTCCTAATAATTGCTCCCACAGTTGATTTCTTCAAACCAAGCTGCTTACCTATTGCAGATTCACTCTTCCCAGCCTGGTGCAGGTCTACAATTTTGTTTCTGGTGTTCTTTGACAGCTCTTTGGTCTTGGCCATAGTGGAGTTTGGAGTGTGACTGTTTGAGGTTGTGGACAGGTGTCTTTTATACTGATAACAAGTTCAAACAGGTGCCATTAATACAGGTAACGAGTTGAGGACAGAGGAGCCTCTTAAAGAAGAAGTTACAGGTCTGTGAGAGCCAGAAATCTTGCTTGTTTGTAGGTGACCAAATACTTATTTTCCACCATCATTTGCAAATAAATTCATTAAAAATCCTACAATGTGATTTTCTGGAGAAAAAAAATCTCAATTTGTCTGTCATAGTTGACGTGTACCTATGATGAAAATTACAGGCCTCTCTCATCTTTTTAAGTGGGAGAACATGCACAATTGGTGGCTGACTAAATACTTTTTTCCCCACTGTACCAGTGAAGTGCTCAGTACGGAAGTGTTCCGATGAAGAGGATGCTAAGCTACATGATTGTTTCACTAGCAGAGATTGGAATATGTTCCAGGATTTATCCAATAACATTAAGAAGTTTACCACATCAGTCACTGGCTTCATTAATAAGTGCATCGACGATGTCATCCCAACAGTGACCATACGTACATATCCCAACCAGAAGCCACAGATTACGGGCAACATCTGCACTGAGCTAAAGGCTAGAGCTGCCGCTTTCAAGGAGCGGGACAATAATCCGGACGCTTATAAGAAATCCTGCTACGACCTCCGACGAGCCATCAAACAATCAAAACGTCAATTCAGGACTAAGATCGAATCCTAATACGCTGGTTCTGATTCTCAGGACTTTCAAACTTTAATGGATTACAAAGGGAAACCCAGCCACAAGCTGCCCAGTAACACAAGCCTACCAGACGAGCTAAATCACTTCTATGCTCGCTTCGAGACAAGCAACACTGAACCATGCATGACAGCACCAGCTGTTTAGGACGACTGTGTGATCTCACTCTCCGTAGCTAATGTGAGTAAGACCTTTAAACAGGTTAACAATTCACAAGGCCTTGTGGCCAGACAGATTACTAGGATGCATACACAGAGCATGCGCTGACCAGCTGGCAAGTGTCTTCACTGACATTTTCAACCTCTCCCTGACCCAGTCTGTAATACCTACATGTTTCAAGTCCACCATAGTCCCTGTGCCCAAGAATGCCAAGGTAACTTGTCTAAATGACTATCTCCCCGTAGCACTCACATCTTTAGCCATGAAATTCGTTGAAAGGCTGGTCATTGCACACATCAACACCATTGTCCAGACACCCTGGACCCACTCCAATTTGCATACCACCCCAAAAGATCCACAGATGACGCAATCTCTATTGCATTCCACACTGCCCTCTCCTACCTGGACAAGAGGAACACCTTCGTGAGAATGCTGTTCATTGACTATATCTCAGCGTTCAACACCATAGTGCCCTCCCAGCTCATAACTAAGCTCAGGACCCTCTGAAACTGGATCCTGTACTTCCTGACGGCCTCTACCAGGTGGTGAGGGTAGGCAACAACACATCCGCCATGCTGACACTCAACACGGGAGCCAATCAGGGGTGTGTGCTTAGTCTCCTCCTTTACTCCCTGTTCACCCACGACTGCGTGGCCGCGCACGATAGTGGTTGGCCTGATCACCGACTACCTATTGACCCAGAGGTCTTCATCTATATTCCTAAACCCTTTGGTGGGCCATTACACATGCAGATGCCAGCTGCAGTTGACTTCAGATTCCATGCATAGTCCATATGCATAGTCATAAGGGTTTCTTACAACCAAAGGTTAGAAAAGTTAGAAGGATGTCATGCCTACTTTCTCACACACCCTCCCCTGAACCTCAACATGTCTGCCATTTATCCACCTGGGGAATGACCCCTCAGCACATTCATCACATTACTAAAACTACGCTTTGTCGTTATTTCACATAGATCTTACATGTGGATCTTACTTTCTTTCTTTCTTTCTTTCTTTCTTTCTTTCTTTCTTTCTTTCTTTCTTTCTTTCTTTCTTTCTTTCTTTCTTTCTTTCTTTCTGATCTGTCACTCATCAAATACTTTTAGGGTTATGCATCTGCCCTGACTGTTCTCATTTAGTCAATACTGGCAGAATTGATGTGATTTTCTGGAAAATCAAATTCTGCAGACCAGTGTATTGACTTGATCATGAGTAATGCCTCGGACTGGAGCAATCCTAATGCTCTCCAAATGGGCAGGCTGTGTACTCTGTTATTTTGAACCCCCTGAGTTGGCAGTGTGCTCAGAGTGTCAGCACATCACAAGTCTGGGTATTAGTATTAGCACTAACAGTGATGTTGTGTTTTAGCCTTGGCAGTAGCAGTGACACTGTATAAATGTGCTCTAACATTGGGAGAAAACCACTAGGGCTGGACAGAGTGACAGAATGACAGAGGAGGTATAATTGTTGGAGTCGTTTTCTGCGTCGGTCTGTCCACAAATTATTGATCAGCGCCCTAGTCACCAGACAAACACAGAGAAAAACAATGCCTGGAGTTTTACAGACTTAAAGAAAACACAAGGGAAAAAAACTAGCGAACAGTCCCATAGTCAAAGCTATGCTAGACCCTACTGTAAACTGGTCAGACACTGGTGTCTTTCTTAAACCTAGTTGAACACTTTATTTGAAACAACAACAATCCTAATGAAGAGGTGTGGGTATAAAGGACCCAATTATGTTAGAGGTCTCATTGATGCTGGCACCCTTTAGTCCATACAGGAGTAATTATCTGTAGACTACATTAACTGCAGCAGCTCCAACAGTTCAAGACATTGGGACTATAATGTCTATCTGACATTTTGGTCAAAAATGAGTTATTCACATAGAGTTGCTTAATATACAATGAAAATAATAATAATGGAAAGTTCTATCTGCGCAAACACTTTCAACATGGTGCTATAAGGTTATATCTGCAATCAAATCACATAATGCTGGGTTGTCAAGAAAACATAATGGTATGTAAGGTGATGTATTTATTGAGTCATGAAAGAGGAAGACATCACAAAACAGTTCTGAGATATGAACTTGAACAATTCGAAGTATCTCAAAACGATACATTTTGCAGGTAGAACCTCATAGTCCCAAGTCCTTGATTATTCATATAATAGGTTCTGGTCCTCTTTCACAATTACTTAGATTTTTTTTACACTTTATCAGAAGAATGGCCATAATTTAAGTTCTTTATGGTAAAAACAAATAAATATAGGTGCCTTAGATCATGTTTAAGGCCCATTGGAGAGGCATTGCTATTGTTGTCTTGTTCTATATCAATTCGAAAACCTCCATGGAAGGGTATTTCACTAAATTACAAACTTTTCACATTTGATTGATAATTAGCAAGTAGTTTACTGACTTTGGGTGTCAGAGACCAGATAAATATATATGTTTACTCATCGAGAGCTAAGCAATGTTACTAGCTCTCCATAGGATATAGTATATTTTTTATTTTAGTTAACTATTGTCAACAAATGTGTGATGAACATGAATTAATATTTTTGATGATGTGATACAAAAGAGGCTAGGTATTCTCTTTATTGAATCATTAAATGTCTTTACTTTTCTATTGAATTTATGCCAGATAGAACCTTATTACTAAACTCAGATTGACATTTCAGAACTATTAGGTTCCATTTGCGATTGCACCCCCTACAAAAGTCTTAGGATTATGATACTCTGTACTTTAGGTACTTTAAGGAGAGGATCTTAATGGGTTATGAAAGAAGAATTTACTACAAAACAGTTCTGAGATGTGGGATGTGAAAAAGTTGATTCCCAATAACTCACAAGTATGCTTTGCACAGATATAACCTTATACTGTAGTCCCAAGGTCACGAGTTGTAAAGGTTATCAATGTGTGATTAATCTCTGTCCAGTGTCCTGTGGTGTCTGTGGTTCTGTTTAGAGGTGACTCAGGTCAGTCATGCTGCAGTTAGTCAAAAGGTCAAGGGTTATCAAATAGAGTTAAAGGAAATGTAAACTGAACAAAGGCGTTTAGCAAGGTAATGAGAAGGTAATCGAACACACATACACACACACACAGCACCAAAATCCAGTCTACAGGGTGATGTTAAACAGTCTTACAGGGTGTCACATATTATCTCTAAAGGTAGGTGGCAACATTTCCAGACCATATCACATACTAACAGACACTCAACGTCTGGGAGCGATTCAGACATCAGAATGGCTTATACTGAGGTGATGCTTCCCACCTCTCTGACACACCCTCTCACTTTCCTCTCCTATACTTTCAACACCTCATACAGGATTGTTAAGCTCAGGTCCTGGTGGACCACAGTTTTAGCTGAGCCTGAGGATTCTCTGGAGCTGATGACTAAACTGAGTTAAACAGGACCCTAACCCAACTCCTGCTCCTCCACACAGGAACCAGTTGACATTATCAAAAGATGTTGATGGGGAGCATGTCTGAGATTTGTAGCAGAGACACATCCAGGAGCAGCCTGGATACAATTACTCACAAATCACTGCTGAAGGGGATACTGTGTGTGTGTGTGTTTATGTTTTCAAATGGTTTTTCAATCCCACTCCTCCTTTCTGTTCTCATCCACACCAACTTTACACCCATAAATACACGTCACCAGGCCTAGCATAATGGATGACAATACACAGGATGCTGGATGGGCACTTCAACATGTCTCACACATACACACAAACACATGCACACACCTACAGATTAATATATGTCAGAGTTGTCAGTATGATGAATGACAATACACAGCAGATTTGACAGTCCCTTACACAGATCACTCCAACCCAGCCTTCCACTGAACCATCTGTGACTGGGCCTGGGTTTCCCATTAGGGAAACTGTCTGTCCAGGGAGCCCGAGCACACGGACAGGCTCTGAGCCAACATGGTGGCTACATAGCTTCCATAGCTTCATCTAATGTCTGACCAGGTTAGCTGCTCAGAAGTTATCTCTGTTGTCTGAAAATGTGGTGGGGGAAGAGAGGAGAAGGGATGAAAGGGGTAAGAAAGAGGGGAAAGGGGGGTTTAATTTTTACTTGTTACAGCATGTGTGTATGTGGAGTGTGTTCAATGACTCAGATTTTTCACATAAAATGTATGCCAAACAAAAAACGTTTGACTTCAAAGTTTAACAAACCATACAACTCTAAGCACAAGGACTACTTTACAAAAACACATTTACTGGATGAACTGTGCAGATGCAAAGTTTGGTAAACGAATTTAGGTAAAATCTCCCACAGTTTTTTGTGTCCACGTTTTGTGACTGCGCCTAAAAACCAACTAATCCCTTTGAAAATGGCCAATGTGGCATTGATATGAGACAGAAACATTATTTGTATTGTCAAAATTGACTGCAAAGTTTAAATAGGATCATTTTTGTGATAAAGTCAGTCTTGTCTAAAACAGAGTTTGGAACCTCAGTGCGTCACAACGAGTAAATTAATGTTGGGTTTGGATTACAAGTCTGTCAACAAATTATGCCCACATTGCCAAACATTGCCAAACTCCACGTGCAAATCGCCCCTCCGCCTACTTCGCTTCCCTTCAATGGGGCTTCATTGTTTCATCGCCACCAACCAATGCATTTAAAGGATCACAGCCTTTTGAGACTGAAAAGCCCTATACGGATTGACCATACAATGCATGTTCCAGCAGGATGCACAGCCAACCACTATGGTTTGCATGCCCTTCCGAAGGACCCTATCGCATGTAATAGGTGGTTGGAGTTCGTTGGTCCCCAGTGGTGGTGAGTATACTACAGTGGCAGTCAGTGACATTTAAGATGAGGGAGGACGATTTTTTTGCATGAGCATGGCCTTATTTCTATTACAGCATATTGGATGACTGTCATTCAAATTCCATTCATCCAGTTCAATGTAACAGCGATAGGTTTAGGCTACATGATACTCAAATGTTCCCTATACCCGTCATAAGGTTGCTACAACCTAGTCTATGAATGAAAGTTTACAACGTAGGTGCACACAGGTCGAGAGACAAATTTGAGGTGACAGTTCACTTTCATAGCAGTCCCGTGTAGCTCAGTTGGTAGAGCATGGCGTTTGCAATGCTAGATTAATTATCTGATCCTTTGATTGGGTGGACAACATGTTCGTTCATGCTGCAAGAGCTCTGATAGGTTGGAGGACATCCTTCGGAAGTTGTCATAATGACTGTGTAAGTCTATGGAAAGGGGTGAGAACCATGAGCCTCCTAGGTTTTGTATTGAAGTCAATGTACCCAGAGGAGGACGGAAGCTAGCTGTCCTCTGGCTACACCCTGATGCTACCCTACAGAGTGCTGTCGAAGCTACTGTAGACCTTCTTTGAAAAATAGTGTGTTTTAATCAATTATTTTGTGAAATTATTTAGTATAGTTTATCAAAAAAGGATAACATCTAAAATAAATATATATCTATATATTTTTTTATTTTTTTATGAAATTCACTGAGGAGGATGGTCCTCCCCTTCCTCCTCTGAGGAGCCTCCACTGGTATACTGGTAGCTAGACCATAGACTGCTGGTTATGTATTTGGTTAGGTATATTTTGATAATCATTATTACTATCATCGCTAGAATAGCTGACGTTAGCTAGCCAGCTACCAAATAGCTAGCTAGCTAAAATAAATCTAATAGTTAGTTGGAAAACATTTTGTTATGATTATGATGTCACCAGATTTACTTTAGATGCAGTATAACTTTATCCAGCTAACTAAGATTGAGGGGACCACCGTATTTTAGCTAGCTAACATTAGCATTGCTAGCTATTTTTGACAAACTTTGCCAGTAACAGTAATGGCAACATTGCCTTCTCTCTAATGTAAATTTCACGACATCATAATATGGCAAAGTTGTTTCCTACTAACTATTTGCCTACTTTAGCAATGTCATCATATTCCCATGCCACTCTAAGTTACTGTAATTTAGATGAAACAGTCACATTAGCCTGCAAGGTGCAACACATGTCTCTCACAAATAAATATTGGATGCAGCTATGGTGGTAATAGCTAACTCATGTCTGACTACAACAGTGCACTAACTAGCAGCAACAAACTCAAACCAACCCAGGGCCATAGCAAAACATATCACAGTTGGTTGCATAGTGTAACGACGTCACCGGCCTGAATCTAATCCAATCTGGAGCCAGTCAGTCTACATCTGTAAAGCATAGGATTAGTTTCCAAACGAGAATACGTTATTTCTCAAGCTATGTTTATAATTGAGGGATAATGACAATCGTTGACCCTGTTTTTCTGTTAGACAAAGTGCACAGTTGGGTGCCAGACTGATCCCCTGGTCATGATTGGATGCCCGGGACCTACAGAAGGGGCAAAGTTGGGTATCATAACATGTCCAGCAATGTGATTGTAATGGTTTAGCAACCTCTAAAAATAATTTCATTCACTGTTCACTTGCTCTTTTCACAGTTTGTCAGGCAAGACCGCCGAATAAAAGTGTGTCATGTGACACAAGTATCGTTGTGACACCTCCTCCATTGTTGCCAGAGTCTCCCTCGACTCCTATGAAAAAGACACACCATCATGAGGCCTCTGATAGTGACCTGAGTCACTATCAGGCTTCATCAACAACGAAATGTGAAAAGTTGTATTGAAAAATACCCGGCTTGATAAAATAGTACATAAATTCCCCAGCCAAGCAGATACAACTAGTAAAGTCATTTTGGTTGTGAAGTGCATTAGCAAAAAGCTTTGTCCTTTCTTTAGAACATAATGTATTTTTACCACTTGGCTGTCTATTTTATCACCCTGTCACATGCCTTCCCAGTCAACCACCTCATAAGATTGCCTGCTACAGTTGGAGAGATGTCCAGTTTGCAGCCAAACATGCAGCATAGAAAAGACCAGCAAAGGGGCCCTCATCAGCACCTCGCTGTGAGCATTCCTATGAATGGCAAGTATCCGGCCAGCAACCTTTACCTGTCAGCGGCAACAGCTTTCACAGGCTAATTATGTGTACAAATACAAAGGTAACCCACATCCTTACTTTGATACACTTGATAAACCCATCATGAAAGATAATCTATATATACTGACATTATTCACTCAACACATCAACTCAACACATCCACAATGAGGTGATTACTAATAATACAGTACAGCACAAATGTCCAGTAATAGCAACACCCGTTCCATTCCTTGTGTCACTGATGAACTCTGCTTCAACTATTTCTACAGGTGGATTGGAGATGCTTTTGCCAGACAGCAGCCTCAGGTAGGGTTCATCTGACCTGGACAAACTTCAACATAGTACTTGTTTGTTTGTAAGATATTATCCTAACTTCCATTGGTAATAGAACAGTGACTATGTGTGTATGTGTTCACAGAAACATGTATGGAGCCAGCACACATGGAGACTTGCAAGATGACGTGATGAAGTCCAGACTGACAGACGGGCATGATAGTGATGTCCTTGAATGGAGAGAGACCTGGCACTCGCCGTAAATTTTGTTACTAGATACAACTTGTATTGTCTTTTTTTATTATTGAATTGAATGGTATCAGTCAATATGGGGAGGTAGAAACCCTGTGTATTCTACACCAGGATCAGGGAACTCCTGTTGAATACGGGACACCACACAGGAAGGTATGACCTCTCTAACATGTTTGCCAAGGTAGCCCCATTACCACCAGACAAAATGTGACTTGTTTCAGGAAACTAGGCATATGTCACACATCACTACATCACAGTCATTTGAACGTAAACATTTATTTTTTATAAAAATGCGTTTTTTGGTAGAAATGGCTTTTGGAACATGAACTTTCATGTGCCATAATAATTGTAGTTCATCCGTAAATGTAAATAAAATTGTTAAATTACGAGCCTAGTTGGTTCAGCCACGAAAAAAGACAGGAACCTTCCCGCTAGACATGATTGGCTGAGATAATAGATGGGCTGGACATGCCGGGAGACTTGTTTTGATTGGTCTGCAATGTAGATCAGTTGGAAAAAGTGATGGGCTACTTTCTGCACATGCCACAGTCAGTGTGAACCGGAGTGACTTGACACAACGCTGGCCAAACAAGATGTAGCTACAAACAAAACAGAGTTAAATAGTTCCAGTCTGCCGCGAAGCATTCATCCATGTATACGGGCAAGAGTCTAGCTACATTTAAGCAATAATGCATGAGGAGGTGTGGTATATGGCCAATATACCACGGCTAAGGGCTGTTCTTAGGCATGACGCAAACTTCAATATTATTTGATATAGTGTGTGTTTACCATATGGCCTCACATGCAAATCCTTAAAGAGATGGGTGGGGCTAAGGATTAAGAGGGTGTGAACGATGCTGAATGGGTGTGGACAAAGAAGAGCTCTCCAGTAGGTGTACCAGAACATTCAAGGGTCATTTTCTCAAAAGTGGGGTTACAAGTTTATCAATTTCAAAGCAGAATTACTTTCCCATTGTTCCTTAACTGCAGTGTATGATATACCATTTTCTAGCTCTGAGTCTCTACTTTTATCCAATGTAAAAAAAAATATATGCCAATAGCCACAGTACCTGTATGACAATGAAATGACAATGAAAGAGGAAAGGTGCACATTGTTATGTTAGCAGAACATTGCTTCTATGGTATTATGTTATGGGTTGTTTATTCTACCTGTAAATTTGAAAGTTAGAAAAACACTTACTATCTACATAAATTCAGCAGTTGCATTCTTCTCATATTACTCTGCAGGCTATTGACCTATTCAAAGCTTCCTCCGGCCTCTCAACATACATCTGCCTGTAGTTATTGAACTCAACCTTTGTTTGTTGTGAATGAGTGGTAGGAAACAGCTGCAGGCAAGGTTCTGACAGATGGGTGTTTCTTGGTGGTGGCAAGGACACACCCAAGAAACACCCACATCAAACCACACCCCCAAGCCAACTCGCGTTTGGCTTCTTCAGCATTTCTTGATGAGCAAGCCAAAAAAAGAGGCCAAATCAGCGGGTGCGGTTCCCCTTTAAGATTCAATGATGTCTGCAGAAATAATGGGGTGTCAGCTATGACATGACACATTGACTTTGAAAAAATTTGTTTTGGTTATTGAACTATAGTAAGTGAAGTGTATTTACACCTGGTAAAGGATTTGTGGTAATTCAATTTCATCATGGGTCCTGGTTCTGTCCTACACATAAATGCATAATGATGGATATGAATGTCATTCTCTTCATGGTGATGTATCCTAAAAACTTACACAAAGGTATAAATATGCAGTATCCTCCTTTGCATATTTGGGTATTATTCCCATTGTAGCCAATTCAATTGCAGAAATTCTGTTACCAATGTTTGGGACATTTCGTTAGCGATTTGGTAACAGAATTTCGATAATTTATATCGGTAAAAACACTATAACTAATTGATAGGTCTACCTTTACTTGTTACTTCTTTTGAATTTCATTTTCTTCCCTCCGCATGAGGGAGAGAAATCAGAAAATATCTTAAAGATATGTGGGTTTTTGGTAATGGAATTTCAAGGCAAAAGGCAATGTTCTTAAACTTACAGAATGCATATTTTTTTTTCCTAAACTAAATATAAGTGTTGATATTACTGTATTTGGCAGGGGTTTTTACTTTAACATTATTGTGTTTTGATGTATTTCTAATACTTTTGAATATTTTTCTGGTATATGTTTTCTAAGACCCCTTTTCCATCTTTTTGACCAGAAATCAAAGCTTTTGCTAATTCCACATTTCTAAGATGGAAAATGGTTGAAGAATGTACATATGCCATAAAATATAGGCTCTTAGCTTTCATTTGACATGCTCCTATGAACTTCACATGTTGGTGTCACGGGTCCTTTTACATGGCAATGGATTCTCAGTCAGAATGCCATAGCTCTCTCTCTCTCTCTCTCTTTCTCTCTCTCTCTCTCTCTCTCTCTCTCTCTCTCTCTCTCTCTCTCTCTCTCTCTCTCTCTCCTCTCTCTCTCTCTCTCTCTCTCTCTCTCTCTCTCTCTCTCTCCTTCTCTCCCTCTCCCAGAGCTACTGAACTGATGGTTTCAGAGTTCCAGAACAGGCCAAATACTGAATGGGAGCACGGACGGACACAAACACAATTCTAAGAAATCACACGGTGCATGTGTGCCCAGCCGTTTTATTTATCCCTTATTTTACCAGGTAAGTTGACTGAGAACACATTCTCATTTACAGCAACAACCTGGGGAATAGTTAAAGGGGGATGAATGAGCCAATTGGAAGCTGGGATGATTAGGTGGCCATGATGGTATGAGGGACAGATTGGGAACTTAGCCAAGACACAGGTGTTAACACACCTACTCTTACAATAAGTGCCATGGGATCTTCAGTGACCACAGAGAGTCAGGACACCCATTTAACATCCCATCCGAAAAATAGCACCTTACACAGGGCAATGTCCCCAGGGATATTTTTTTGGACCAGAGGAAAGAGTGCTTCTTACTGGCCCTCCAACATCACTTCCAGCAGCATCTGGCCTCCCATCCAGGGACCGACCAGGATCAACCTTGCTTAGCTTTAGATGCAAACCATCAGCGGGATGCAGGGTGGTATGCTGCTGGCATATGACATGCACCTGTGTAAACAGGCCTGGTATCTGGTGGCTCTGTAGAACAGTTGGTCCTCTCTGCTTCTGAACACTGCTAGAGGAGAGTAGTGGTCATCCCCGATCCCTGCCTGACCTCTGAGCATGGAGTCTGGTCCATACACACTACACACTCTCTGCTCCTGCTGTGCACTGTGATGTGTGTGCGTGTGTGTGTGTACATCCGTGCGTGCCTGTGGGCATGTGTGCGTGTCTGTGTGCGTTTCAACATTTGCATGTGTGTGTGCAGGAAAAGTCGCTGAACAGAGGCGGATATTGACACAGCATTAACATGAGTGAAAATAAATGGACTGTGTGGAGACCTTGGGAGGAACTCCTGGACATGGCATAGTAAAACAAACCTCCGACATCAACACTCAATCACACTATCGCTGACCCTCCCAGACATTTTGCTAAGGGTTAGGTGTTTGTCTAAGAAGAAGCATAGTGGGGCTTCTTTGTTACAGGCCATGTGGGTAACAGTGAAATGTTTGGTCATGAATGTGAAACAGTCAGATATGTCAAGATCAGATGTTTTAAATATTTCCATCGAAATATGTCCAACAGTATAATCACATTGACTCCTCACTCCCCCTAGTTCTCCTCGTGAGAAAGAGAAACGGAAAGAGAGAGGGGTGGAATGGGGTGAGATAATGAAGATAAAAAAAGATCATTCATGAGCGATCGAGGGCAGACAGCTGGTAGAGAAAGAGGGAGGAAGAAAAGGGGTGTATACTATGAATGCCAATGTTAGATATCTGAATGGCAGATATCTGAATGATCACTAAATAATAATAAGCCATTTAGCAGACGCTTTTATCCAAAGCGACTTACAGTCATGCGTGCATACATTTTTGTGTGTGGGTGGTCCCGGGGATCGAACCCACTACCTTGGCGTTACAAGCGCCGTGCTCTACCAGCTGAGCTACAGAGGACCACACACAAAACCACTACTATTACACTGAGGAGTGTAATAAGAAGGAGATTCACAGCAAAGTGATTTCAAATGTGGACAATAATCTGGTAGCCATTCCACTCAACTCCACAACAGATGATGATTTATAACATTTGTACATTTACATTTTAGTAATTTAGCAGGCACTCTTATCCAGAGCAATTTACAGGAGCAAGTAGGGTTAACTGTCTTGCTCAAGGGCACATCAGCGGATTTTTCACTTAGTCGGCTCTGGGATTCATGTGTGGGTGTGTGTTTGTGTGTGTGTTCATGTTTGAGTGTGTGCGTGTGTGTGTGTGTGTGTGTGTGTGTGTGTGTAATGAGAGCTCTATTGTGTTCTGCCAGTTAACAGGTGCAGCGTTGGAGTTAGAGTCAACAGACCTCTGCGAGGACAAATGCCTCTATCGATCAAATCAAATCAAATCACATTTTATTTGCCACATGTAGACATTACAGTGAAATGCTTACTAACAAGCCCTTAACCAACAATGCAAAGTAAAACAAATAAAAAAAGTGTTAAGCAAAAAAAAATTAAAGCAAATAACTAAAGAGCAGCAGTAAAATAAAATAACAGTAGGGAGGCAATATACAGGGGGAAACCGGTGCAGAGTCAATGTGCGGGGGCACCGGCTAGTCGAGGTAATTGAGGTAATATGTACATGTGGGTAGAGTTAAAGTAACTATGCGTAAATAATAAACAGAGTAGCAGCAGAGTAAAAAAGGGGGACGGGGTGGGGGTGGGGTAGGCAGTGCAAATTGTCCGGGTAGCCATGATTAGCTATTCAGGAGTCTTATGGCTTGGGGGTAGAAGCTGTTGAGAAGCCTTTTGGACTAGACTTGGCACTCTGCTTTCCGTGCGGTAGCAGAGAGAACAGTCTATGACTAGGGTGGCTGGAGTCTTTGACAATTTTGAGGGCCTTCCTCTGACACCGCCTGGTATAGAGGTCCTGGATGGCAGGAAGCTTGGCCCCAGTGATGTACTGGGGGTGCCTTACCCTCTGTAGTGCCTTGCGGTCGGAGGCCGAGCAGTTGCCATACCAGGCAGTGATGCAACCAATCAGGATGCTCTCGATGGTGCAGCTGTAGAACTTTTTGAGGATCTGAGGACCCATGCCAAATCGTTTCAGTCTCCTGAGGGGGAATAGGCTTTGTCGTGCCCTCTTCACGACTGTCTTGGTGTGTTTGGACCATGATAGTTCGTTGGTGATGTGGACACCAAGGAACTTGAAGCTCTCAACCTGTTCCACCACAGCCCGTCGATGAGAATGGGGGCGTGCTCAGTCCTCTTTTTTTCCCTGTAGTCCACAATCATCTCCTTTGTCTTGATCACGTTGAGGGAGAGGTTGTTATCCTGGCACGACACGGACAGGTCTCTGACCTCCTCCCTATAGGCTGTCTCATTGTTGTTGGTGATCAGGCCTACCACTGTTGTGTCGTCGGCAAACTTAATGATGGTGTTGGAGTCGTGCCTGGTCATGCAGTCATGGGTGAACAGGGAGTACATGAGGGGACTGAGCACGCACCCCTGAGGGGCCCCCATGTTGAGGATCAGTGTGGCAGATGTGTTTTTACCTACCCTTACCACCTGGGGGCTTCCCGTCAGGAAATCCAGGATCCAGTTGCAGAGGGAGGTGTTTAATCCCAGGGTCCTTAGCTTATTGATGAGCTTTAAGGGCACTATGGTGTTGAACGCTGAACTGTAGTCAATGAATAGCATTCTCACGTAGATGTTCCTCTTGTCCAGGTGGGAAAGGGCAGTGTGGAGTGCAATAGAGATTGCATCATCTGTGGATCTGTTGGGGCGGTATGCAAATTGGAGTGGGTCTAGGGTTTCTGGGATAATGGTGTTGATGTAAGCCATGACCAGCCTTTCAAAGCACTTCATGGCTACAGACATGAGTGCTACGGGTCGGTAGTCATTTAGGCAGGTTATCTTAGTGTCCTTGGGCACAGGGGCTATGGTGGTCTGCTTGAAACATGTTGCTATTACAGACTCAGTCAGGGACATGTTGAAAATGTCAGTGAAGACACTTGCCAGTTGGTTGACCTGGTGTCACTGGGCAGCTCGCAGCTGTGCTTCCCTTTGTAGTCTGTAATAGTTTTCGATGAGCGATGAGCGTCAGAGTAGTACGATTCAATCTTAGTCCTGTATTGACTCTTTGCCTGTTTGATGGTTCGTCGGAGGGCAGAGCGGGATTTCTTATAAGCGTCCGGGTTAGAGTCCCCCTCCTTGAAAGCGGCAGCTCTAGCCTTTAGCTCAGTGCGGATGTTGCCTGTAATCCATTGCTTCTGGTTGCGGTATGTACGTACGGTCACTGTGGGGACGACGTCATCGATGCACTTATTGATGAAGCCAGTGACTGATGTGGCGTACTCCTCAATGCTATCTGAAGAATCCCGGAACATATTCCAGTCTGTTCTAGCAAAACAGTCCTGTAGCTTAGCATCTGCGTCATCTGACCACTTTTTTATTAACGGAGTCACTGGTGCTTCCTGCTTTAGTTTTTGCTTATAAGCAGGAATCAGGAGGATAGAGTTATGGTCAGATTTGCCAAATGGAGTGCGAGGGAGAGCTTTGAATGTGTCTCTGTGTGTCACACCCTGGCTATGGGACTCTTGTTGTTGAGCCAGGGTGTGTTTTGTTCTATGTGGTGTATTTCTATGTTGGGGGTTCTAGTTCGTCTATTTCTATGTTTTGCCTGAGTGACTCCCAATCAGAGGCAACGAGTGTCAGCTGTTGGCTGGTTGTCTCTGATTGGGAGCCATATTTAAACTGTCTGTGTTTCACTTTGTGTTTGTGGGTTTTTGTTCCGTGTTCGGTCATTGTCACCGTGGACTTCACGAGTCGTTTATTGTTTTTGTTCGTGCTTTAATATAATAAAGTAACATGTTCATTCATCACGCTGCGCATTGGTCTACTTCTCTCCCTGACGATCGTGACAGAAAAACCCACCATACCAGGACCAAGCAGCGTGTCCAGGAGCAGGCAGCCTGGACATGGGAGGAGATATTGGACGGGAAAGGGTCCTGGACCTGGGAGGAGATCCTGGCCGGGATGGATCGCCGGCCATGGAGTGAGACAGTTGAGAGGCGACGGAGAGAGGAGCAACGGCGTAAGCAGTGTCAGTGTCGGACGGTCGAGAGGCAACCCCAAAAAATTTTTAGGGGGGGGCACACGGCAGGGGCGACTGGGCAGCAGGAGGCTGCCACAGGGCGATTAGGTGAGGAGGCCACCAGGTTAAGGGGGCTACTGGCCCAGAGGGAGCAGGAGTTAGTGTTGCAGAGGATGGAGCTATTGGAGGTGTCGTGTCGCGTCGGCTGCTGGTGGCTATTGCTGTCAAACAAAGAAGTCCGCTTAAGCTGTACCTGATTAGTAAGTCTTTATTCATTATCACAAGCTTACGCATAAGTTTACCAGACTCGCGAGGTCTGGAGAGCAGTGTCCTCCAATTCTAATGGCTGCTCTGCCCCTTTCATCGT